GGCGAGGACTGGTGTGTTTACCAAGCAGTACGGCCGTCAGCTGGTGTTGCTTGCCACTTCTCTCACACAGTAGGGGACCAACCTCTTCATCTGTTGCTTGATTCTCACTTATATAACACTACAAGATACATAACACTGGTGCTGTAGAGGCGCTAGTTTCTCCCACGGTCCAACCACCAGCAGGCCACCTCATCTCTCTCGTGGTTGTCAACTTGTGTGATTCTTGACAATATTTCATCTCTCGGCGCACGCAGCACCATACACCACCACACTGGCTATTATTTATACTTATTATTACTTTATAGAGACAGCGCTTACTCAATAAATATATACATTACTATCTAAATGTGTGTTGTAGTCTGATGATCAATAGCAAAAGTAAATTTAAATTATTGACTTGTGACTTGTGAATGAAACGTAACGTAATTTCCGCACTGTATAGCTGGTAACCCACTGTGTCACGGCCACTCATACGCCAGTCTAATATTTTTCTCGCCAAATGAGGATAAATTCAGATTTAAGATAATTTAATAATAAAAATACACGATAAATAGAACATAAAGTTATTCGAATTTATTAGAATATATTTAAGCACCGATTTGTAGTAGTAAATAACGGAAATGGTGAATTCTTAAGCCTAAGATGAGTTCACGAGAATCCATACGAACAAATTGAATGTCAGGGGAAACTCGCTCCGTCCTTAGTCGGAAAAAACAATTTCTTAAGACAAAAACCCAGGTTGTATTCTTATTAACTATACCCTAAGTGCACTTCTATACTAAGAAGGCTATGAGATAATATACTGTTTTTTATTGAAGCCTGTGTGTGGCGTTCAGTTCATGGCCATCTCCGCATCCATCGCATTTAAAGACCTTAGGTGATGTAGCGCAGTACTAATATAACGTTAAGTCATTATAAGTGGTCAAGCAAGTGATCAAGAACTTTCTGTAATTTATAATAATTGTTGTCTAGTTTATAAATTTACTTTGGGTATATGCTTAAAATTCGTAGATAACCTGCATTATTAATTTGTTGTAGAAGTAGTAATATTCATCGTTCGAACGCCCCCAGCACCAGTGCCAGACAGGTGCCTCACGTCACGACAGATTTACTACAGTGCCACTAGGGAAGGATTTTGCCAGCTGGTTGTCATTTGGTAAAAAGTATTGTGTTTGATTTTTCTGACATCAAGAAGGCGCCACGGCAGACAAAAAGCTGGCGAGCGTTCGTTTGTCGTAGCTTCTATACAAGTATCATTTCAGCATAAATGTGAACACCAGGCGCTGTTAAATGCTCGTGGTGGCGATGTTTTCATGCCACAGACCGGCAGACTCCCCAAGAGCACCAGACGGGCAATGCAGCAGGATAAAAAATACATTCGTGAGAATCCGCACGGTGTAGCATCCTCCATTACCTCTGACATCAGTTTGTTCAAGAAGCTAACATACAGACGTTTCTCACTCATCCAGTTACGGGGAAAATTACTTAGGAATGAGTCCAGCTTTATGTTGCAGGGTTTAAGTAAGTAAGTCAGTTGGATACGTTCTTTATGAGAATATTGGTGGAGAGGATACAGGTGAGTGTTGCGTTACCTTCAACAGGTGAACATATATAGCTGCCTTCACCTGTATGGTACACTGCCAAAATAACTACCTGGCCTGTCTCTCCCTCCTAACACACACACACACACACACACACCACCTGTACTTCGGCCATCTTTTGTGACACATAGGCTATCAGACGTGTATCATCACCGTCTGTCTAGTTATGTGACATGATAAAGTTTACGTTACGATGATCTAGCTGACCCTGTGACCCAGCATGACCCACTGTTCCATGACCACCTACTGTCTGTCTCCCGTCTATGTGACACAACAAGAGGTGCATCAAACACCATCTGTCAGACTAAGTGGTACTGAAACCATATTACGTCCATCTGTTATCTACTTTTCCGTGGACTGAGAGAGAGAGAGAGAACAAAACTCCTCGTGGTTAAAATAATCAGTATTATCAGTGTGCTTCAGAGGATGTCGTCAATCAGGTGATAATCTCCAGGTCTATTGTTTTTTTTATGTTGTCATCAGCTGATCACACACGTCCCTGTAAGTCCACACCTGTACCAAGAACCCTCATTCTCATCCAGTTTTATAACGTGGTAGTGAGTCATACGTCAAAGCCTGAAGTACATAAACGGTTCTTTCGTATGTACTCGTCTAATGAAATTATGAAAACAATTGACGATGCCATAAGAAAAATCAGCTGACATCACACACATGAAACAAAGTGGCTGCATGGTAATAAACATCTACTGCTTGAACTCACACCAATAACATACTAAGACATCAGGTAGGACTTCAAAGGATAACCCAGCGTCCTTAAAACACTCTCTAGTTGAAGGTGTGCCAATGACATCACACACACGATATATGAAACAAAATACTTAAATACACTTGATTACACAGTGCTTCAAGGTCCACCAAGCATAACATCTGATCATATTTCAAACAGAATAAAGCTTCAGAAAAGTACAATATTACATAAAGATTGATGTTAAACAAGGCACGTAATCGAAAGGTAAATAGCAGATTAAATCAAAACAAACATCAGCTGATTACACTTGATGTAAACAAAACCTAACCAGCTGATGAAACCATAGCAAAAGTTGTATACTTCACGCCACAAGTGTCAAAAAATAATAACACTCACGGCTAGATGTTGAGGACCACAGACCGACCACCTGCACCAGTGCCTGCCACGGGCCCTACTGGGGAGGAAATTGCTACTCGTGCCAAATGATACCCACACGGGGCAGCCAACATACCGTACGGGGATGTGCCAAGTGTCACGACCAGTGCCAGAGACACGTATCGGTGTTTTAACGTAAGTCTGGCATGTTGCTGAAGGGATGAGATGCATTGTGTCATTTGTGTGTGTGTTACAATAATCTCCCTTCGGTCTCCCTCCATCCCTTCTTTCTTCCTCCTCCTCCTCAGTCGTCTTCGCTACCCTCCCACCCTCCTCTTTATCTCTCTTATCACCTGCCACATATCTCAGACAGATCCTCAAATAATCTCACTTTTTCTTTGGCTTATCAGTGTTTATCTCTCCTCTACCTGTCGCTTGTTTTCTAATTTAGTCTCTCTCCGTTTTCTATTTTTCTCCGTTTTCTATATTTTTCCGTTTTCTTTTCTCTAAGCTTCCTCTCTTACTCACCATTCTCCCCTTCTCTCCCTTTTATTGCCGTATCGTGGCCAAAGTTACATTAATGTTAAGCTCCTTGTTCACAGCCAGAAACATAACACGCTTCACTATGTCACCTCCCGGCACTACACATGTAACAGAGCCCCATTATGAAGTTTGTTTACACGTAGAAAAGCCTTATCTTCAGGTGATCCGGAAACAGTAGCGAACCACATCCTATTAAACATAGTTCCTAGAGGCCAATTCGTTCTTCACCTGTCTGTGTGTGTGTGTGTGTGTGTGTGTCCCAAAAATTAGCGTAGTATTAACCGATTACCCTGACACCAGCACCCAAAAAACGTAAAAATAAATAAATAATAAATAAATGAAATAAATAAATAAAAAATTCCCAGGTGTGATGGACAGACAATTGCATCTCCTTGTGAATTATTGTATTCACACGAGATTGATTTATTAAGTCCACTACGTACTATAAATGCCTTCTTTACACACATAATTTTTTAGTCACGTGGTGTTAAATAAGTGACTCAGGTAAATGGCATCACCGCCTACACCTGGCTCACAATCAACAGTGGACACCTGTAATAGGCTGTAGGGGTTAGACCTATCAAGGTTCTTAAGATAAAATATTCCTCGTAAGTGAAGATGTGAGAATGTAGACGAAAACGTTCTAGATGGCGTCAAAATAACACTGAGACACTACCAAACTAGACACGTTCACTTAACACCAGTTAGGAAATAAAATTACACCGAGACTCTACTTTATCTACATACCTATACACCAAATACTATTTTCCAAAGATTTTCTAATATATATTGCCTTCCAATTGATATTCAGTTACCGTATTTAAATAAGGTAATTTTAATGCTATCTTTTAGGCCTTGCTATAAGATGAGTTGCGTTTTTGTACGTTTTTTGTCCTTTTTTTTATGTGTTTTTGTTTCCTTGTGAATTTTGTATATATTTTGAGCTTAGTGTGTGTGTGTGTGTGTGTGTGTGTGTGTGTGTAATACATATAACAAGACATATAGCTATTTATATCTGTATGCGTGTGTCAGCGTATATACATGTATTTGGCATACGTAATCATACCATAAAGAGCACACACGCGATCTTAAGACATTTGGGCACGTATGTTACCTTAGGAAGTACACGTATGGGGTAGGGGGGTGGGAGCGAGGGGTAGAACCAGTTGGGACGGGCAGGATGGGACTGAATGCGCCCACACAACGGTTCAAGCCGAGCCAGTGGGTGTACTAGGATATGGGTGAGGTCTTGCTTTCGTTTCCCAGTCCCCAAATTTCCCCAATAACGTCATATTTACAGTAACTGGGAATATAATAGATAGGGGGTTTGTGTATAGTAAAGTCTCAGTGGAGTTCTGAGGCCATTTAAGAGACGTACCTGTGTTTTAGAGTGTGTCAGTCAGATGTATCCCAACTTACGTCATCACCAGTTCTGAGGAAGAGTTACTGTGATAATCCAGATATTAGTCGACACAAATACCACAATAAGGTCCTAACAAAAGCAAAACACTTATTGACGATAATTCTGTGCTATCATTATCTCTATCTCATGAGTGACATTAAAAAAACAAAACACGGGGGGTTAAGTGACTATGTGATAAGTGGGGATGGGTAGAGGCGGGCAGCAGGCAACCACCCTCCCAGGCTCTAACACTGAATGACTACACAGTTGGTGTCCGGCCCTGCTGATGGGGTGATCTCATGGGAGCTGCTCTCCACCACCATAACAAAAAGTATCTGTTACAGTGAATATTCCGGAGAGTTAAGACTTCATTCCAGCTCAGAGTACGCCCCGTTGTATGTGTACGTGGTGATAGTACAGTGTGCTTCTCCAATAGTAAACCTAAAATAGCTGTGGCAATTTGAGAAAGGTCAGTGAAATATAGCATTACAGTTCGCCCAGATTAAAAATATTCGCTTTATATATTTATTAACACCTTAAATGGCAACTACAGGCGTAAAAAGTGATTACAGACGGCAATTACTCGCTTTACAGTATTGTACTATTGTACATGGAATATGCTCCTTAAGGCGGACAGTTAGGGCAGTGCGGACTGAGTGACCTTGGCGCATGATAAAGAGTAAACACTTCATTTGGGTCCTGCGTGGCAGAGAGAAGTGATACCACCCTCAGAATGGGCAAACTGTACTCCAAGCTATGACAATAAATTTATTAAACTAAAAATTAAAAGTTTTGGGATGAGTGAAGTGGGAACTGTTGCCACCTGACAACTCCGACGGACACCAACGAGGGAGAGGAACAACCAGACGTGAGTGAAAGTGGTGGGAACTTGATAGGACAAATTCCCACCATACCGTACCCTAACTCAGCCAGGCCTAAGTTAACGTGATTTTATTTAGCCTAACCAAATTTACCCTAATCCAACCAAATCTATCATAACACGACCTAACCACAAAGTAAACAAACCGACACCTGTGCTTACTGATTACCGTACATGAGTTACCAGGTGTGGTGTTGACTCATTTTTAAATACTACACATACATACTCTCTAACTGAAAATTTGTAGTCAAAGTATATTTTTAACGCCATTTTAGTTAACATATTTCAGCTTTAAGTTTTAACATACGCAAGACTTGCGTTTTCTAACCTGGTAAAAATTTTAACGTAAGAAACTTTGAGAATTTGTTTTTTACGTTAAGTGAGTCATTTAAATACGTTCTCACATCACCAGTTCAGGGAAAATATAACGTAAGGATATTTGAGTCATGAGGGCTTTAATAAGGGATAGATAGATAGATAAAATAGTCGGTAAAATCATCATACGTGTGACTAGATAATTACGAACTGAACCTAATCAACCCTAATGTACCTTAACCTAACTTACCTCTAACATAACCTGAACTAGCCCCACCTAATTTGACGTATCCTTAACCTAATTCACCTCCCCAGAGAACTCAATATAACACTCCTTCAATATCTTCCCCCAGAGAGGCTATCTGACATCCTCCCCCACAAGATAAAAGTGTCTAACATCCTCACCCAAGATAAACTTTATATTAAACTTTTATCCCCCAAAGTAAGGAAATCTAACTTCCCCAGATAATACAAATTGAAAACCTCCCCAAAGAACAAGACAGTCTTAACATTCCCCCCTGCCACCCCAGAGAACTTAAACTGTTACCAACTTACCCCCCTTCCCCCAGAGAACTCCAGCAAACACTCCTCTCCCCTTCCCCCAGAGAACTCCAGCAAACACTCCTCTCCCCTGCCCCCAGAGAACTCCAGCTAACATCACTCTCTCCCCAACAGAACATGGCGCTCATCTCTCTCTCACTTACGATTGGGATGTTGATGGTACTCTCACACGTCGTACGAGGTCTTCTTCGTCAGGTAGTTCATGGTGAGCTGGTCAGAGGGTGCCTGGCAGAGCTGGTGGCCGCCGCTGAGATGGTCGCTACGTCTTATGAGATGTCCAGAGGTGGGTGTGTTTGTGAGAGAGAGGGAGGGGAGGGGGGTGCATTTACGAGTGGTTAAGAGGGAGAGAGAGGGGCATTTAAGAGTGTTTAGGGAGAGAGAGGGAGGGGGTGCATTTAAGAGTGTTTAGGGGAGAGAGAGAGGGAAGGGGGTGCATTTAAGAGTGTTTAGGGGAGAGAGAGAGGGAAGGGGGTGCATTTAAGAGTGTTTAGGGGGGAGAGAGAGGGGAGGGGGTGCATTTACGAGTGTTGAGAGAAAATGCAACTAAAGAAAAACAACAAGAATTAAAACAAAACACATCACAGAATAAACCTAATCAAATCTCATCCCCTCTACAGTATTCGGTAACCACGGGATAATAGCATACAGCATCATCCTGTTCCTGACTATCCTGTGGAGAATTAGGACCTGGGATGGTGTCACTGCCTGCCCATACAGCCTGCTGGGACAATACGTGGAGAAGGGCGCTCAATACCACCACACAATGCTAAAGATTCTGGCCCAACTTGTAGGTGGTGTGGCATCCATAAGGTGCGTGTCCCCTACATTGATTCCCGGACTAGTGATCAGCAATGAACTTAACAAACCCCCTTACCTATCCTAACTAGCCATTTCCTCATCTAATTAACCATTTCCTCACCTAACTTAACCTAATCAACCCCTCACCCCTTAACCTAAATTACTCATACACCAACCTATCTTAATTCCTAACTTTACCCAATTTATTCAACTTAACCCAACTTTGCCTTAACTCATCATGCCAATAATTTAACCTACCCCTAACCTTACTAAACCCTAATCAGTTTTAATCAAAATACATCTGGTTTTAGGAATGATTGAGTTTCCCATTTGTTGTGTTCTGAGTTGCTGTCACGTGTATGTAAAAATGAATGGAAATGAACAAACACTTTTTATTATCAACTTGTAGCTAAAATTCAGAATTGTGTGACCTCTAAATGGCTGGACAGGTGAGAGAATGACTATAGATGGACTTACCAGCAAAATGTTAGTCAAAACCAAGGATTCTTGGTCTATTTTTAGGCTGTAGTCATGTCACTGTACACTATAGATGACTGAAGTACATGCGAGGGTTGATACACAATTACTGTATTCTTGTCTTCTATGTAATAAAATACGGTTCTTTTTTATACACTGCACATAGTTGAAGTACATGATGAGGTCGACACATAATTGTCTTGATCAACTATGTACTTTATCACTGTTCCTGTGTGCCGCAGATGGGTCAAATACATGTACACGATCGAGGTGATGCACACACACACAAGTGGTGACGACATTGGTTACTGTGAGTCAGACATACAAGTCCCTGTTGTCATGGGATTCCTGATTGAGGGTTCGCTCACCTGTGTCTGTGAACTTGCATCTCGAGCCCTGGGTGAGATCAAGCCCAAGTATGCTGCTGCTATCAACTCCTTCTTTGTCACTTCCATGGTCCTTGTGGGTGAGTTGTCAAGTCAGAGTTTATGGATGGATCTCAAGATTATCTAGTCCTTTGTGATGGTGGATTGTAACAAATTAAATCTATTTCTACATTATCTTAACATTTTTTAATGTACTTGGGTCTGGATCTCAAGTTGTTCCAGACCCCTTACAACGTCTGGTTATTACACATCAATTCCTATAATTTATCTAGTTTTTACTGAGTTAACTTCAGTATTTTCACAAGTGTTTTTACATGTACAGTAGTGTAAATTCAAGTGTTTTTGTACCAGGTTCTGTATTTGAAGCTTCTTTTACATTATCAGTCTTTCACACAAAATTGTCTAAAATTTGCCTCAAAACTTCTTTGCCTTGGACTTTTAAATACAGTACTGTACTTTAATACTTCTCTTGCATCTGCCAAATTTTTTTTTACTAAATAGCAGCATCTTGTATCCCACCGATTCCTCACCACGATGGGTTCAAGTTAATTTTTATGATCAGCAATACTATAATCTGTTTAGGCTCATAGTATCAACCATTACTTTGCTAGTTAAGGCTCCTCCTCCTTTGGTCAACCTGTTGTTAACATCGACTCAATAAGATGATCTGGCAGTAGCAACCAACATAATATTATTTGCTCTACCACTCCTGTAACTTCAGGCAGGGCAGCTAGAGGGGTTACTCACACTTGCTGTAGGTGTGACCCCAAGACTCATGGCAGGCGGGAACGTCTCACATTTTCTGACAGGATCAACAAAAATGGTCCTGCCCACTGGCCATCCTCTTACATCTTCAGTGTTTGATACATTTAACTCCTTGCCCGTAGAACTTTTCTTTACACACTTCGCTTCATTGTTGCAGCTTTCAACCACTCAGGCGGTTACTTCAACCCAGTGCTGGCAACGTGCCTCAAGTGGAGCTGCCGCGGCCACACCAACACTGAGCACATCATCGTGTACTGGGCTGGCTCCATCCTGGGTGCCATGCTGTCCATCAAACTCTGGAATCTGGCCACTGTTAAGAAAGTTCTCGTTGGATTCTTCAAACCCAAGGAAGAGTGATATAGTCTTGGTAAAACACTCAAGACTAACTCACTCTTCCACAAGGATTTATACTCTTTGTAAGATACAGTACTTGGGTAAATAGAATTCATCATACTCTTGGTAGTACAACCAAGGAAGAACAATCAAGCCATACTCAAGGAGGAACACCAGTTTTATAAAAAAAAGTCAAGATCAAGTGTACTACACATGGAAACAGTGGAGATGTAGAATTAGTCATATGTCTGACTTTGTATTGTATTGATACCTGTATGTTGCATGTATCCAATACCGGTTGAAAAAGGGATATAAATTTTGTTTGAGCAAAAGGCCGCTGATATGGTGTGTATGATCAGTATGTACTATCATATAGGTCACAAGCATAACAGAATGAAACGGAGACTTTCAAATTTAGGTACTGCAGGAAGATGCTTGAAGGCAAGATATCCTGATGGGAAAACAAATGAAGTACGGTACTAAGATTAACTGGAGCATAAGAAGTGTTTTTGAAATATATCTGAAGAAAAGAGATGAAGGGATATTGGTAGAGATATTAAAGGGTCCAAATTGCATACAGCGTCAAGGGTGAGCCAGGGGATGGAGATAAAAATTATGATTGAAAAAGGTGTGTTTTCTCCAGATACAAAATACTTCACAGGAGAAATGGTAAAACTGCCTTAAAATATTTGGAGTGGAGAGCCTTAGATGCCAACCCTGCCTGACCCGAGACTTACTGGGACTAGGATGGTGCCACATTCCTGTCTCTACAGTGCCAGGTCCACAAGTGCCAAATGCTTTCTTTTATATAGGATTTAAATGAACTGTTATTCAGTAGTACAAGATACCATTCCATATTGTTGTTACTTATTGTACTAGTTTTATAGTAATTGTCTTGTATATTTTTGTCTCACTCTGCTATATAGGAAGGACCATGAAGGCCAGTATGTTCATATTTGACATTGACATCAATATCGTCCTTAAGGCTGTCAAGGTCAAGTTCCATTATGGTCACTGAACTATGCCATCCATAGGTGTGGCCCTAGGTACTCCTGAATGTGCTGCGTAAGGATCAAATTTTGGTTAACAGATCCTTACGCAGCACATTCAGGAGTACCTATACTGAAATTTTGAACAAAATCCATTTTTTGGCCGAAAATGAAAAAAATTGTAAGTCTAAAGCCTTAAAGGATTTTTGGCCAAAAATACGTTTTCTCTCTGAACTAAAATTTAATGTGCCTAACTATTTAAATACATCCAGAATAATACACAAGCACCAAGAAATGACCTCGAAAACCCATAAGTGGCGAGTAATTAGCATTGCAAAAGTAATTAAAATATTCTAAAAATCATTTGAACATTTTCTAAAAGCCATTTGAACAAGTTATAATCAAGATATCAAATTTTGGTTAACAGATCCTTAAGCAGCACATTCAGGAGTACCTATACTGAAATTTTGAACAAAATCCATTTTTTGGCCGAAATGACAAAAATTGTAAGTCTATGCCTAAAAGGATTTTTGGCCAAAAAACTTTTCTCTAACTAAAATTTAATGTGCCTAACTTTTAAGTACATCCAGAATAATACACAAGCACCAAGAAATGACCTCGAAAACCCATAAGTGGCGAGTAATTAGCATTGCAAAAGTAATTAAAATATTCTAAAAATCATTTGAACATTTTCTAAAAGCCATTTGAACAAGTTATAATCAAGATATAAATTTTGGTTAACAGATCAGAAGCAGCACATTCAGGAGTACCTATACTGAAATTTTGAACAAAATCCATTTTTTGGCCGAAATGACAAAATTGTAAGTCTAAAGCCTTAAAGGATTTTTGGCCAAAAATACGTTTTCTCTCTGAACTAAAATTTAATGTGCCTAACTATTTAAGTACATCCAGAATAATATACAAGCACCAAGAAATGACCTCGAAAACCCATAAGTGGCGAGTAATTAGCATTGCAAAAGTAATTAAAATATTCTAAAAATCATTTGAACATTTTCTAAAAGCCATTTGAACAAGTTATAATCAAGATATCAAATTTTGGTTAACAGATCCTTAAGCAGCACATTCAGGAGTACCTATACTGAAATTTTGAACAAAATCCATTTTTTGGCCGAATTTTTTTACAATATTTAGATTACTAAGACAATTCTTATGTATTGAATGGATAACAATAGTGTTAAGGTAATATCGTACACATGTCAAAGTTTAGTTCACTACAGTACAATATTTCCTGTATATGACTTACTTCTGTCAGGAGTTTGGGGACTTGGTGATGGCCTTCTGGTGACTTATTGAGTGGAGATAGTGGCTGGTCTTGATGGAGACCTACAGTACAGTGTGTCACTAACATCAACATCCAGGATAATTGAAAGTCTCATCTGGAGCTCAGCTTTATTTAACCTTTCTGAGAAGGAATGATATTTACAAAATTAGGCTAATTGGCCTAAGCAAGTGTTGTAAAAGGGGAGACCAACACAAATAGTGAATCTGTGTCCTGTAAACATCTGATTCTCTAGGTCCTATAAGTCAGCTTGGTCACCAGCTGGGCAACGAACAGACACCACTGTCATCACAGCCAAGCTGGAGGCCATTCAGCACATCAAATTATCTCAACAAATATGTCCTATAACGCTTCCCTCGTGTTTCAAACATGAGCCTCTTTATCTTTTACTGATCCAAGTTAGAATCTATCTCACATCGTACTCAATAACGTCATAAAAAGTAAAAATGTTTTTGAGTGTGTACAAATGAACTAGATCTGATATAGAAAAAAAATGAGAAGATAAAACATGGAAAAGTTTTGAATAACTGACGAGGTGGTGAACACATTAGGCAAGAATGGGTCACACAGTTCAGCAGGGCAACGGGTACAGAGCAGAAATAATCCTACAATTTATCACAAGAAGAATGTTAGCCCCCCCTTATTTTGTACAAAACCTACTGAGTACGTCTGTGTTAGAATGTATTATGTACACGCATGAGAATACGGGCCGTCTAGGGTGGCCGCTCCAGCTTTGCTTTATATATAAATAATCCGTAGCCTCGTTAACTCTGCTGTGAGCCGTGTATGATCCCCAGCCTGCCCTAAGTTGGTGCAGTAGACTTAGAAACAGCCAACAAGTTTATGAAATTCAGTTAATTTCATTCCCCCAAATTAATTGGAGTATGAAAACCTCAGTGAAACAGTGTCAGACATGTTAATACATACAGATTGCAGCCACAGGGTCAGGGGGGGGGTGGGTGGAGACACATGATGATGATGGGACATGGAACCAAGCAAACATTGGTTATAACTCAGCAGAGGAAACCCAACAGGGTGTAAATAACTGGTGAGGTAATAAAGAGGTTTTTACTGGGAACAGAAAGTCTCTAGAGTCTAAATTTACCTGCTGAGGAAAAATAATTAATTGTGAGCATCTCGGGAGAATCACAGGAACTTGTATGCCAACAAGAGATCAATACTGAACAGTGTGGGTTAAAAACAAACATATCCCAATTCCTCTTCATTTTACTGGAGTTCGTAAGAAAACATATAGGATGACAAGAAATGGTACACAGGGCGTAACAGATAAAAGGCATACTTGGCAAATCTGAGAAAAAAAAAAAAAAATAAATAAAATAAAATAAAAATAAATAAATAAAAATTAGGGAAGCAACACTTGAGGTTTAATACAGTAAATATAATTATGATGTCCGTAAGATTCACGTAGAAAATGGAATGCAATTATACTAGTGTTATAATATCCGTAGTATGTGATAGCTGCTGCTCTTGTCAACCACCAACAAGTACTTATCTTCCAAATCAATTTTGTGACAACACCGAGAGCAACTTTTGAATCAAGTTCGGCCGTAGAGGAAAAACACATTTGTCCTTAAAAATAATAAATTCCATTGATAACTGAAACCTTACAATTCTCTAATTTTTGCGTAAAATTACGTGGTGCAAATAAAAGTCGCGGCCGGACATGGTTCAAAATCTGTCTCCCCACAGAACGTACCAGCACACTAAAAAGACCCGTAAGTACATAAATGCAAATCAGATGAATTAGTCGTATATTTTTGGCACTTTTATCATATGGTCATTTCCTGTAGGGTTAATTTCAAAGATCTGGACATGGATATACTGAGCACATGTGACAACTGTGCCATCTTGACTACTTTATAACTCACCCATCGTGCATACATGTACCTCCAAGCACCTCGTGACTGTGACGCCTGTGTACACACTGACATAACTGTGATGACAGATGCAAACAAACTCTTTAATATATTTTTCAGACTAGATACTTTGTCAAAGCACAAAAAAATTGATAAAAACGTGAAATGACAAACTTTTGCCTTGAACTGCTCACTACACCACAGCGTTCACTGAACACACCCAAAACCATCATGACTTAGCACCATAATTAACTCGGTAATCTACCGATGGTGAAACACCGATTTTCTTCAACCACAATTTTTGCAAACCAATTAGAATCTTTTTTTTTTCCTTTTTGACTTTTTTGGTTATAGAAAGGGTCAGATATCTAGCCAATGATGATGATAATGATAAGCTCTTTCATCAGTACAGTACAGTACCTCCCACCAGCTGAATCATGCACTACTACCACACTTCTATAAAACTTTAAAGGCAGCCACAAAACTATGAAAAACTTGTGTATTCCAAATACAAAATGTGGACAATACTTTACAATTATTTCCATGCTTAAAAAAACTTTGGCCCTTAGTTTTTTGAGGTTTATATTTTTTGAGGAACAACTGAGGTGGCTGAAGCCTCCCAATAGACTGACCATCGTGTCCGACGCTGACCGTGTTCTCGTAGGCTTGGAGAAACGTCGCGTTCGACAATTAGAGGATGAATACATAAATGTTACATCAAATTAATAAGTTATTGATTCCACTATAATCACGTAATCATAAACTGCATGATGAGTTCGACAGTCAGGTTACCCTAGCTAATGGCAGCCTTATGTCTTTAAAATGTATGCCACAATAATAATAATAAAAAATAAAAAAAACCACAAAGAACTTAAGAGGTCAAGTGGTGTCAGAAAGACAGAAAAAATTAAAAAGAAAAAGAAGAGAGGTTGCTTTCTGTCATTTTATGGCCTCCAAACCCTCGACATGACCATGAACTTTTAACTAAATGTTCATTAACCTGTAGTTTTTTACCTATAAAGTCAATATTTCAACACATTACTTCTGAAGCATAAATATCAACAACTGGTTAAGAACATGACAAATAAACTTTTCACAGCCCAGTTGGAACTATAATGACTGAGATGCAGATTGGCCAGCAAAACAATGACTTAAATAACATTAATTTGTTAGCATGGAAATGCTCTGAGACACTGCCTCAAATCCAACCCTGGGGACCAAATGACAGTCACCAAGAACACAAAACACACATTCACAGGACTTACACTTGGATAACTGATTACGGAAAGCAGTAAAGAAATTCAACTATGCTCTCCAGTATCTACTGATAGCAAATAGGCAATGAAATGTGTACCACAACTACTGAATCAGAAACACCAAAATGACTCCACCAACTTATTCCTGAGAGTAAAATACAGTTGGTAACATTATTTGGCCATTTCCTTCCAGTAGCAATAAGCTGGTCAGAGGAGTGGTTCACAAGTGTACTGTTGTGAAATGTGTAAAGCAATAAATACAACAATTTTTCAAACCTAATGGCTGGAGAGCTCTGCCAAGACTTCCAGGTATCCATGTGGGCTTGACGAGTCAGCCAGCCAGCAGAGAAGGAACACAGAGTGTGTGACGAAGGGAACAGGACAGATGTTGCTCAAAGGGGTGAACCTCAAGACCCCAGGGAGTGTGATACAGTGCCAGCCTCTGGCATAGCAGGTATTACATTGTGACATGGCAGAGCTGTTCAGTAAAGGCTCAGCCTTTGGAGGTGTCTAGTTGTGTCATTCATCACAGAGAAACATAGATGACATTGGGGACATCGGTGGAGGGTAGCCAAGGGCAGGCCAGTCCAGACACAGGACGGCAGGTAGCGGGTGAATCCTGCGCGGAGCCGGCAGCCACCAAGGCCTGTGGCAGCGTGTACCCTGCACCGGTTGTTGTGGTCATCACGGTACTGCTGCAAGTTGCCCACAGTCCACGAGGGCCCAGAATTAGGGCCTCACCACACTGCCACACCCTACACTTTGGACTTCACCAATGTTCACACATCCAGAACATGATTAAGAAAATATAACACTTTATAAATATTCCCAGGCATGTCTATGTCCAGACAACTGTCCCAGGCAGCTATCACAGGCAGGCCAACACTATGTGTCACTCATGAAGGAATTCTGCGCCTTCATTTCTTCAAGTTCTCTCTTCTGAGCACGTAGAAAAAGTATCCTGAAACAAATGAAAAACATACATTAGCAAGGTTCACAGTGACAGCTTGGCTGCCAGCCTAATGACTAGGTCAACTGTTTCTGAAATATTATTTTAATTTTCTTATGGCATAATTTTTTATTAAAACCTCAGTTAATCTTAAACATTTACAGTATTTACACCAAAAACAGATTGTGAAAACCTTCACCTTTGATATGTAACCTTTAATATCCATTACAACATTATGATGTGACATTATATTCAACAAAAAGATGAGTTTTGTAAACAATTGGGACATCATGAGTTTTGGTAGACTTTAAAGTAATAAAGTTATCTGCAAGTTTTTTCTGATATTCTCTCAGAAGACTGGTTAAGTGTACACTGTTAAATACCTTTGTTCATGGAGTGTGGCCTGTATCTCTGCCAGACGTACAAGGGAACGTGCCATCTTGAGCTCGGCAGATACCCGCGTCATCACCAGACTCCCAACAGAATGAGCTTCCTCTGACAGTCTCTGTGCCTGTAACATTATCAATAACAAGTAATTCAAAAGAAAGGAAATGCCTATATATCGATGCACATGAATGTTTTTTAGTCATCTTTAATCACGTAAATACAGCCGTGGATTAACCCTTAAGCAGAGTAATGATTCCCTAATCTGTCCCAATATTTTATGTGCAAAAACTGCAACACAAAGAAGATGAAACATCCAATGATGAAGGCCACCGTTCCTACAGCTAACTTCCACTGAGGGTGGCCACCGCTTAAGAGTTGATAATTACCAGGACAGTTTAAGCTCACAAACCATGCGAGTTACTACTTCACTTACCGGCTTTTCAAGGGCCTCAGCTGGCCAATTTTGTACGTGTGAAATAAGGGATTCATTATAATAATTAGCGAGGCTAGGGGTGAGGGCAGGTACCAACGGCCGTAGTCCTGCTAACGATCCTCCTGCTGTCTGTGTCAACGACTGCAGTGAATTAATACTGCTGTTTGGGCTACCCACTGAAAGTAAAAGTAAGTTTATCTTAATAAACTTCTCACCAAAACCGACACATTCCTGACCTTATCTTACATACAGGTATACTATACTGCACAGTTAGTGTACACTGTGTCTGTTAAAACCTGTACGTTAACTAGGTGTACGTGAAGCTGATACTGACTGTAAGACCGTTCTTGCCCCACACTACTGTAATTAATTAATCATCCTTAGTACTATAATGGCTGATGCTAAAGTAGGTACAGTATACAGTTAACGGTTTCTTCACTTGGGAGATTTTTTAACTGGTGGCTATAAGGCTGAGACACACAGCCTCCATAACCTACTTTAGCATCACCCATTATACAAAAATCACCCCAAGAACAAAAGGTCATAATAATGTTAAATAATTAACCCCTTTAAAATTTCCACCACAAAACTATTGTATATTCAGCCTATGGTACTGACAACCTCACAAGTTCTGAAAAATACCCAGAAAAAAGAACCAACAAGGCAGCAATATAGTACTCTACTAATACATCATATATACAACCCATCTGAGGTCCTTACGTACATCTATCAACCAGAAATTTACCAACATTAAAGTAAATAAACAAATAAATAAAAAATAAACTATCAGGCAACATGGACCCAGCATCACACATCACCGACTGGTTGAGGTATGATTGGTACATATCTGGGTATTCTTGAACTGGTTACAAATTTCTACGAGAAGCCACTGAATGTATGGCCATATTCTTCATCAATACTGGCTCACATACTGAATACCAGTCATACACTTACACATTGCCAAGTATGAAGTATTGTGATAAATGTGGTTAATAAAAACAATTAATAAACTAAGCTTGTAAAGAAACTATGGACAATTCTACCTGTTGCTTCTTATTGTTCTGCACCTCCCTCCTACACTACAAAGTCTTCCGTACCCTCTCATCCACCTCACAAACAAGAGTGGAAGAGTGTGATGGTAATACTGATATACTGTATATACTCTCAACCTTTTAGCTATTCCAATGAAGGGAAAACTAGATACTTTTACCCTATGTGGAAAGCTACAACAGGTACAGTACTGTGTTTCAATGCCATCCTTCCTTCCTTCCTACCAGTTTTTTTGTTGATATTTAAGCAAGCAATATCTATCAAAGGGCTATAGTATAGTCTGGTTTTACGCGGATATTTTTTACGCGGACGGCCATTTACGCGGCACCTGTTCAGAAGAGATAATTATTATTTACGCGGCAAGCGGCAGGGCAAGGTGCTGGGCGCTGACGTCAGACTTGTGCCGGTGACGTCGCGGACTGTGATTGGGCCACGTATCCTTGCCACCCACGCACCCCTTCCGCCGCGCGCTGTGATTGGTCTAGCTATCCTTGCGACCCCTGCAGTGACTGCGGACGAGATGTTGGAAGATGATGACATCAGTGAGCAGCGATGTGTTACAGAACAACAAGAGCAGAAACTAACACATGCTGATGTGAAGGGTGTCATCGAGTTAGCTGAGAGAATGAAACTTATCCTTGCCAAAGACACAGTCAATCATCGCTACGAAGTGTCTAATAACCTTCTGTTGAAATCCCTGGAGCCCTATGTTCAGCTGTATCACGACCACATCAATGCTAGCCATCAACAAAACATCACCGAGTTCTTCACCCGCCAACCACCACAGCCAGCCCAAGTCAGTGATAGTGAGTATATGGACTTTGGGGGGGTTTGACGAGGAGGCCCTGCTAGCCTCTGTGGTGGATAGAGATACAGGCGAGGGCCAATAATCTGCCCTCTGCCTCAGAACCAACCCCCCATCCCCATCTCTTCTACTAACGTAAGTGTTAAAAAACCTAATATTATTGAAATTTCTCTTATATATTAATTGTGTGTGCATACCATCATAAAATTAAAATGTTATTTTTACTACAATGTACAGTATTGTGTCGGCGATAGGCAAAAGTAAAAAGGCAGTCTGGCGGTTGGCCCAGTCTCTATTTCAATTAATCCCATAGGTTCTGTTATTTTATTTGTGCGTTTCGCTTTATACGCGGACCTCCATGGGTTTAATTAACCATGTAAAACCAGACTATACTGTATACTTCAGGACACACCCCCACAGAACCCCCCCCTCCCTCAATACAGAAATGCCTACAGGTACTTTTCATAACAGAATTTTTGAGACTGTACAAACATAAGTTACCCCCTAATTTTCACTCTGAATAATAATATAATAATAATCCCAGTTCCTCAAATACAAACACCTATGATTTGCATTTATACTCAACATCCTCCTGCAACTCTTTCACAAAACAACTGACTCCTCTCAACCTTAGTTTCAATTCACAATATGATCGCCGCTAGGGGAGAACATTGAATGATTCCCATTTTTGGGGGTCAAAAGTTCAACATAACATACAACACTCCCCCAACTTATCAGTCATCTTACATAAGATAACAAAACCACCAAGAATTTACCTCTATCTATCTCTATCTCTGGTATCTTCAATTACAGGTTTGGGTAGTCACAAAAAGTGCACCATCACCTAAACAACAAAGGAACGCAACACATCAGAGGGCAATGACATCAACGACCACAATGTAATACCCAGCCTAGGATTTCCTACATTATCTCAACTAATAAATTACCCAGTAACTTCCAAAAATATTACACTGAGTCACAATCATCAATCACTTAAACAACTGACACCTTCTAGATCTACAACAGTTATGACTGAACCAAACCTGAATTTTTCTTCTTCAAGCCTATTAAATTGTTTTGGCTATGTTAAAGTTCATTCTGTCAGCTGTTCCTTATACAGGGTGGGCAAGAAATAACCCGATATATTTAAAACTTATATGAAATTCTATCTTTATCATCATGCACAACATACATCATAGATACTACGCAACTTACATCATGCACAATTACCATTAGACGTACTACACAACATACGCATGTAAAAATATATAATTGGGGGTACACACACTGTTATACTAAGACTAATGCATGCCATGTGCCCAGGTATTTCTCACCCACCTCATACAAAGCTGAACACCGAGACATAAAAATTGCCTAAAAACATGGAAAAGTAGACAAATAGCAAAATATAAAGAGTAATGTGTGACCAAAGTGCACTTGATCACTAAAGGTTAACACTTGATTGAAACAATAACACAGATGGGGACATAACATAACCCTTTTTCATGCAGGTGAACTAAAGCCTTAAAATAAATTAAATTAACACAGTCTTTAACTTCCCTAAACCTTCTGGGTTCATATCTAACAGTGTGGGGATAAATTACATCTGCAATCATTGACAATCACCTCAAGGCAATCCATATTCCCTTTAACACTAAGCCTACTACAAGTGATAAAAAAAAAAATCTCATACTTCTCAGCCATCTTCCCAACCATTTGCCTTGCACGAATATTTGGCTGAATTCATGGATAATCAACGGCATGAAAGAGGACTGAATTCATGGATAATCAACGGCATGAAAGAGGACTTAAACACAAGGATGAAAGGTCTGGGGCAAACTGTTATGCAATGATGAATGGACTACTACAAACACTACTGCATAATCTAACATTTGCTTCCTCCATGAATAATCTTCTGTAACAAATAATACTACATCAGCTCCTCCTTCACCCAGTGCCCCTAAATTTCTTGAATACTGTATCTAACTAATTTTAATGTTCTCACCCCAGCACTAGAGTCCATTCAGTTTCCACTACACATCCCGTTCAGCTACAAAGTAACTTTTAAGAGCTGCCATCTGGTAATTATGACTAACCCACACAAGCAAGGAAAAATGGCTGTAAAATGGTAATGGTGAATACTCCTTAACTACCTTCCAACACCTGCTCTTCTTCACTAGTTCATACATTTTATCCTAGGCCAATTTTTAAAACACACCCTCTTCACTAATGTAATTTCTACGAATGTCAATCCAGCACCAAGCTAACTTGACCTGCTCTTTCCTGTGTCACTCTTTAAAATGTCATTCTTAACAGTCTATTCTCATTATCCCAATTTTATTTCTTTCTCTCTTTCCCATTTTTGTGAGGGATGGATCACGGAAAATAAACCCCCCCAAAAGAAAGGGATAATTGGGGCCGGACATGCATAGGTGAAGACTACATGCAGAAATACATAAGTAAAACACATGTAAATCCTTTGCCTCAATATCCAGTTTCTTAAACATATATATTACAGGTTTGAATTCCTCTATGCACTCATTAGTCCATGGTCATGCTACCTTCCCATACATCACTGGGACTTGAACTACAGGTACAGTATATACAAAACACATCTTGTCACTACTAAAATAATTTTCTCTCTCAAACAGCTTCCTAATTGTGCTACAGCAAAATCCAAGCAGTGTTGCCTCGAATTCTTAGCAATTAGCAGACTGCAAGTTACCCATAGCAGGATGCTAGTCCACTGATGGTTGTTCCACCATTGACAAGGTAACAGAGTGAAACTAAATTTTTTTTTTTGGCTAACTGTAAGGGTCAGTCCCATCTTTCACTGTGACTGGCAACATAACCCACAACCATTTGTTTGTGAGGTAAATGTTCTGCTACTGAGCTCCTAAACTAATCAGAAAAGCTCCAATAAAGGGAGAAACCAACCCCTGAAAACATGCAAAACACATGAAGAACCCCCAAAAAGCATAACTAGACAGGTATACAGTATATACCTCCTGTAAAGGATACGTACAAAATTGGATCAATGTGAGGCCATCTGGTGCAGAGTTATGCTCATGGCAAGAAACTGTGGATGGACAGATGGACATGCTCATTACTATGCAGCCCCCATAATGATGAGTAGCTTTAATAAGTATACAGTACTATGAATTCATCCAGCCTCTCATCACCACCAACTTTTACAACCCCTTTGCACACTTGTGTGAATGAGCCGTGACCACACGATGGCAACTCTCTTGCAGCCTCTCTCATCGGGTTCATATTCACAAGGTCATTTCTTACATCCTCTCCCCTACTGGCTCTACCACCCCTCCACATTCAAACTCCAGCTTCTCTCAATACAAGTGGTCTGCTCCATTCTCTCCACACACTCGCTCAAAACATCTCGGCTTGCTTCAACACAAACCCCCCCCCAATACTCTCAATAACCCAGCTGCCCTCTTAGCTCTGAACAGGGTTTCCTTTCTTTCAATGACATATTAAACATCCATCTTGCCATTCTCATTTCTGCTCCCTCAAGTCTACACATGTCATCCTCTTTTACTACAATACAGTATTCATGTTCCACTCATATACATCACATTTCTCACACAGGTTGCATACATCTTTCCTGTCATTTATATACATGTATCAACATCTAATTAAATATACATCTCTCACACCTTGGGAGAAACAGAAGTCTCAACAGAGGTAGTGTAAAATGACAGTTAAAAGTGACAGAAGGGAGAAAAAACAATTAACAATACTCCAACCACACTTATGTATATATATATATATATATATATATATATATATATATACACACACACACACACACACAAGTAAATCATGAATTTTCTTTCCTTCAACTATAGCACACCATCTTTCACACACAACTCCCATACCTGTAGTATTTCCAACTATTACCTGCCTTTAAGAGAATTGACCCAAAAGAGGTGGGATTTATTATTAATCCCACCTTGAACTTTTTCCCGCCTTTCTCCAGACTAACTCACACTTGTCTTACCACACACACATAATGTCTCGGGTGCTCTATAACACACCCACTTCATCCAAATTCAAGTCAACATTTATTTTATCTTTCTATCACCTATCACTTATCTTCCTCTCCTTCATTTTATGCAAGGAGTGGATCAAGGGAGACAGACCTAAAACTATATATAGAGAGAGAGAGAGAAGGGGGGAGTTGTGAGGTAAGCGTGGGAAGTTAGTGATGTGCACACTAAACACTCCACACACACACACACTCAGGTTGCATATGATGTAAACAAACCAGAAGCTAAAGAAGGCAGTGGTAAAGGAGAGAGGTGTGAGGCAAGTGCTGACAGACACACTTCATACATATTTACACACACACACATGCACACTAAACACAAAATCCCCAACTAGCATAAAAGTAAACAAAGTGAAACATTACCCTCCCTTGCCCCAAATACCACCCCACACCTCTCTATCTGGCTAACTCCTTCACGTTAACACCCTCCATTACAGACACCAATTCTTCAGCCACTTTCACCATTTTTATCTCTAACAATTTGATTTTACATGTCAAATAAATTCTAAGTTATTTTATTTCCTACAATCAACTAGTGTAATCCATCCTTATGAATTTATTCTGTATATCATAACTGATTATTTAAGTATATGAAGCATGATAGTTGTTCAATTTTTTTTCCATATGGGTGGAAGTTTTAAGTGAAATAAATATGATTTCCACCGAGCCTGACAAAAATACTTTCTCAATTTCTCGTCTCCCAACACAGTCTCTCTCCTACTCAGTCAATCATATCAAACAACTGCCAGGACGTGGAGTAATGACACGCCCACTTCACCACAACGCCATCGATTTCTTTCTTACTATTCATCTATCTAGCACACCTCCTCCCTCCCATGCTTGTGGTTGGGGCAGGTCAAAGGAAACACAAGTATTATCTAAGGGAGGAAAATGGTAGAGAGGAGAGTTATAAGAAGTGTTAAAATTGGAATAAAATGGAGTAAACTATGAGAAGACCCTCCACACACTCTTTATATACTACACACACACACACACACACACACACTGTCTTTCTCTATGTTCACAATGTAAATAGAAAGTGATACTCTATCTCGACCTTTCCTTCACCACAAATATCATCACTTTACAAACTATTTTATTATCACACTCAGCTTCCTCCTCTTCACACACACACGAGGCAATTCTAACAATTCACCATAGACAACACACACATAAGATTTACCCCTTATCTTTCAATAGTTCCTGCAGTCTCAGTTCCACCTGTTTTTCCACACACATGCATCCTTTCTACTACTTCATCTATCTATCTCTCTAACATAACAAACCCAAGTTGAAAAAGGGACGTCCATCTTGCACAAATTTCACACCCAAGTCATGCGCTAATTATTCTTATCTATCATTTCCTTCCATACACATTTCTACATGGAGGTGGATCATCAAGGAAGACAAGAACCCCAAGAAAGTGGTGCAAAGCAGGAGTATAACTTGACAGGAAAGACACAGACGTACACTTACACACACACACACACACCTAGCTTACCCTATAAACATTCTGAACACATTTCACAATGCATTTACAGCAACCACTATCAACAACAAGAGGTCTTTCATTAATATTCAAAGCTGCAACACACCCAATTATTTTTAACACTAAATTTCTCCATTACACTATTATCCATATCTCTATCTCCATTTAGTGAGGTGTAGATTCAAGGGAAACAGAAACGTACAAGAGCGAGGAAACGGGGAGGGAGAAAGGTGTAGCTAAGACGCGTGTGGGCAGTGACACGAGAGGACCACTAAGGCATATCTGATGTTAACTCCACAAACCTTACATTAACTCTACACACCTGATATTAAATCTACACACCTGACATTAACTCTTAATTTAGAAAGAGTACTTTAAATTTTTCTTTATGCTCAACACTTCAAAATCCATATCTCTACCTAAGCAAGAGCCACTGGTTCCTACAAAGAGAAGGAAAATGACGATGATGAAGGAGGATTTGAACAAAGGCTAGTGAGCATATTTATGGACAAATTATATTACTTTTTTTTTCAATAATTGGGAATTTGGAGAAAGTTTCTTAAGCAATAACGGAGAATTAATGTAAAATATTTATAAAATAGTGACAGAATCTTGTCCTATTTTGGAATACCTGTTATTTTAATCCACCCCCCCCCCAGTTCAAAATAATTATTGGCCAATCAATTTTAACAGATTTTTGGCATTAGCAACAATGGTGTCCCACCCCCTCCCGAGATATTACTACAACTGTGTAATTACATGAAGTGCAAACCTTTCTTGAAAGTCAGAGACACCATCACTCCTCTATCCTGTCAAGCCTTTAGTAAGAAGGTGGAAGACTTAAGAGAAAAAATTTGAATCATGCCTCATCCTCAGTGATAAACAGGGTAGCCTACAAGACATATGGATAACATACTGCCATAATTTGGAACTACATATCCAAACTATTTTGGGTGTTGTCAGCTAAACAGGAAAATAATACCAAATACAGGGATGTGAAAAGATTGCAAATTAATACAGAACTAAACTTCAATTAAACAGGTGCCCTTCAAACACACAACAGTATATACATTAACACATATGAACTTATAACACTCTCAGGCATAATCTCTCTTTCATCCAATATACTTCAATATCACAATGCTGGTCACACACAATACAGAAACAAGAGGGTAAGGGGTACTCACCTTTTCTAATGTCGATGCCGTCTTGGTTTTCAGAATGTGTTGGTGTTGGGGGACCCCCACCTATATTATTACTATTTGCAGATATTGTTAGTGGTTCTAATTGTGATTTCACTACTAGTCCTTCTCCATCATGTGAATGAGAGTTGTTAGAGTTGACAGTCTTTGCTGTATCCAAGTCTATTCCACTCTTGCTCAACGAATTCGAGAGTGTCAAGAGGCGGGGATGGAGGTTTAGGAGCTGCGGCACCGCCATGGACGTGGAGCCGCCCAAGGCAGGGATGCTGCTGGCTAAAGTGGAGGTGGTTGTGGTGTTGGTGCCTGAGCTCGATGACAACGCACTACTACATAACGGGGGTAAGGACGAGGGTAAGGAGGTGGGCATCAACCCTAAACTTGTTCCGAGCTTAGGTCTCAAACCACTTTGTATAAGTGTTGTTGTTGAGCCCGCGTGGGTGGACGTAACAGTCGTGCCCGATGAGGACGCCAGACCCGATGGCGCTAATGACACGTTGGCCCCGCTAACGTCGTGGCTGTTCTCTCCACTGCCCCTGGTGTGGAGGTGTTCTGACGTGGGAGTGCTATCACCCGAAGAAATTTCCATATCTGCTGCACCAACTTCTGGAAAGATTACCAACTGTAGGCCATCTTGCTACACAACGGGAAAAAAGTTATTATATAAACAAAGAATATAGTACTATATGTATTCTCTTTATCATTAGTTAAGAGAAAAAATAGACACAGCACTGTATATAAAGCTTTGAAAATCCACACCTGACTCCCTAACTCTTTTTTCATCCTTCTTTTTCACCCACACCAACTGAGAACATTTTCTATTAACACACAGACACATTCTCCCTTTACTCACTCTTTTTCCAACTGTTCATCCTTTATGCAGATGCATAAAACTGAGGGTAAATAAACACAATCTCCTTCATTCATTTTCATCATTCAATCTACTCCAGTGGTTCCCAACCTTTTTGTACTCCTAACAGTGTACATCCAGCTTTAATATAATATATAAACCATTAACGGTACATAATTATCTTCCCTGAGCACAAGTTTAATGATAATTCTCCTACAATTTGTATATAGTAAAGAGACAATCATAAACACACACAAATAGACTTGACAAAGCCTGAAAACCTCCTCCATCATTTTCACCGGCTAAAGATTAACAAATCCAATCTTGTGGCGAAATATCTTTCAGACAACCATCAACAGAGCCTGCGTGATATTTAAATAAAGGCGGGAATAGCAGTGACAGGATGACGCATGATACGTATAGAAATCAACAGGAAGTCTCTATCACAAGTTCACAACTGCAACCTTTATTATCTAACCCTATGAAATGTTACACTATTGGTAACCATAATGAACTAATTTTTTTTTAAGTGTTAGGAACCAGTTTGGATGGTAAAAGAGCAATATGTTCTAGGTATGTCAAATGAAAATGAGAAAGAATGTTTGGGTATTGAGAATAAGAAAGAATGTTTGGGCAATAAGGATGAGTAAGAATGTTTAGGTATTGAGAATACTATTGTTTGGGGATCGAGAATACAGTATAACCATGATTGATTGGACATTTTCTCGCCAATCTTTACAGTATTGCATTATTTTTCCTCATCTTTTAATATTTCTGTATCCAATGACCCATCTCACAAACTGAAAGAGGTGAGGCGAGGGAAAAAGAACACAATGACAACAGACTAATAGTAACTACAGTATGCAGTATCTCTACCCAATAAACTTGCAACACAACAGTACAAGAAAGAATGAAGAAAAAAAAATTGCACATTACACACAACCTCTTAAAGAAAAGCAGAGTCATTCATCGGTAAAAAAATCGAGTCAAAATACCTTGACCGTATTTTCTGGAGTCTCTTCTATCATACATGTCATCACTTCGATACATTTCTCTCCTATCACGATCATTTCTGTCCCGTTCACCGTCCCTGATGTCCCGTCCTTCCCGGTAACTCTCTCCCATATTGGAATGTTTATCTGGAAAGAGAGAGAAAAAGATCATCTCGTCAATATGAACATCAATCTATGACAGGAAAAACGATCATTTAAAATTGTCAGGGTGTTAATCTTCAAGTGATCCAGCACCCAGTAATACAAACCTTGCCTAGTTGAACTCTTGTCATGTGACCTGTTGGAGGTTTCCTTGGCACGTGTTCGCTCCCATTCCAGCCACTCTGGGGGCTTTTCCCACTGAGAAACCTCCGTACGGCAGTTATAATAGTACTTCTTCCCCGAGGAACTCACATGCTCCGACCAGTCCCCCACCCTCGCCAGACGTTCCTTCTCTTCTTTCTTGTGCTACAGAGAGAAACAAGAACCAAAATTATCTTGGACTAATCACCGTTTTTAAAGATTAAACTATTCCTCAATACAGTCTTACAGGTTAACACGTCAAAAACACGATCTGGGCCATACACTCACAACAGAATTAATGCGGTCATGATTCCCACGGCTGTCCCTGTCACGTTCTCGGTCCCTGTCACGGTCTCGTACCTCTCTCCGGCGGTCTTTAGGCGACCTACTGTCATCTGAAACAAAAACAAAGATTTTCTTTTACTCACAAATCACTATTAAGGACAAGAGGTTTAAATCTCCAGCATAAATATTTCCTTTTAATCACTAATAAGGACAAAAGGTTCAAATCACCACCATCAAAATAAGACATATCAAGCTTGAAAATAAGTTACATATCGTATTTACCGATGTCAACAAAAAACACTGAACGAGAACTTGACACATGACACAAATGCAAAAATCTATGGTGTGGGTGGAGAGTGTTAACAGGGAAGATGTAAGCAGTACACCAAACAACTGCCTCACGCTCTTTAACATGCATAACACAGCACACAAGGACTCATTTGCCTCTAAAGTGGTTCACATCACTTCATATCGCTCGTACCTTCAATGCAAGGCTGTCATAATCGTGTTCTAAATATAGATGGCTGTCATAAGTGTTCTGAATATAGAAGGCTGTCATTTTAACGTCTTTAAACATAAGATTCTTACATTACAGTACTGATATGAAATGGAGTGAACCCAAGTGGCATTACACCAACACACACAAATCACAAAACCTCACGGCACATTATAAAAATTGGCCCGAGATGGTCACCTTTACCTCTGTCCCTGTAGTGATAGTCCCGGTCCCGATCCCTCTCCCGCTCACGGTCCCGCTCCCGTTCTCTGTCGCGGTCTCGATCTCTTTCCCGGTCTCTCTCACGGTCTCTGTTCTCACGGTCTCTCTCCCGCTCCTTCTCACGCACCTTGTAGTAGCTTGCTGTTGATGAGGAAAAAACATATGGTTATTATTATTTTTTTTTTTTATGGACACTGAAATAAACGTATAAAAACAGTGACCCCTAAAACAACATAAATCTCATTTCTAAAACATAAACCAACACTAAGTTCAATTCCTATCCCTTTCTCTTCTACATGCGAGTTGGATCACGGAGAACAGAAACCCTAAGAATGGGAAGGAAACAAAATAACTGGGAGGCACACACACAAACGATACGTAATTTTTGTAACGACGTCATAATTGTGTTTAATCATAAAGATATTGTATGTGTTTGTGGACATACAGTATAAGCAAAAATAAAATAAATATAAAAAATTCAAAATAAACAAATATGGTTTTTTAGAGGAAATTAATGACCAGTAAGCGTGTGGGTACTCAGGAATGCATCGTGTGTGTAAAGTGGACACTGACTGTACTTGAGGTGTTTTCTCATTCAAAATACGGCGTGACACAGGTTATTGCACCCCAACACCTTTGGAAGTGAATTATATCTATGTATTGGAGACTTCTGGATAGTCAAGAATTCACTCAGTGCTGTATAAGAGAGAATCATGCCAACCACTGCCCTTGTCACTGTCCATTACAGCACTATCATCGTCACTGTTGGTGGTTACTGGCCAACATCCACAACATAATTCCATCTGTCAACTTTTACTTTTCCAGCGGATTAGGTTTTCCATTTCCCCTTTCATGGTCATACAGTAGGACATTTGGGCCTCTTTCACAGGAGCATTTTTATGCCCCACGACAAAAAACAAAACAATGGACGTCTGTGTACAAGAGGCCCAAGATGTAGTCTTACCCAAGGTATTAAGAGATGCTGTCAGTCAAGGATGGTATAGTATACAGTGTTAGGACAACAAAACAACTTACCTTTATGGTAGCGTGGAGATTGTGACCTTGAGTCTGGTGACGAGGATCGCAGAGAGTTTGTCGAGGGTGAGTCCCTACTCTTCTCATGGTTACTGTACCGGTACTTACTGCTGTATTTAGAATTCTGGAAATATGGAAACACAATGTATCAACAACTGATACAACTTAGTTTATGTAAACAACCACACTAAAGAATCACTTCCCCAGATTCTTATACTGTACTGTACATTACTCACGGAATCAAAATTTTTGTACAATATATTCATTTCTTAATACTGTGTAATTTCTGTCAATAAGTTCTTGTAATCCAGTATCCAACAATATTGAACAGTCAGCACTAAAGCAGAGCTCCAGCCCACACCATGAATTGTGTTAAGAACTACTTTCCGATTGTGGAAATCAGTTGATAAAGAACAAGGAAAAGTTACCCAAAATGTGTTCTAGTGACACAAGCACTTCTTAGATATATAAACAGCATACCTCCAGTGAGAGAATTACACAAATACTGTATTAGAACTATGAAAGTCCTGTACAGTACAGTATAACTAACCCCTGTAGGTAGTGTTGGGATGTTTAGTCAACAGGTGGTACTGTATAAGGTAGTCTCCCTGATCTTCATAGTCCCTATTGATATGTAACATAAGGATCACTCAAGTTAAAAACAATGCGGGTTAGAAAGGTTAAGGCTGAGACCCTGACACAATAGTTACCATATATGAAGGTTAAAAACTAGAAAGTTTACACACAAAAATGTTGTGTGTGCACTCTAGTATGACCACACCACTCTCACTCATCTCAAGTAAACACAGGTTCTTACTGTTTACGTATTAAGGATCAAGTTTCAAATACTCTACCATCGTTCATGACACTGTCTACACCACCGCCCAGTACGTAAAGAAGAAAACAATACTGTACTGTACCTAGATTCATTGCCGGGTCACTCTTTACACTGCATCACTATATAATCAATACTTAAGCTGTAGGTCAGGGAAGTCCACAACCACTGTCTTAACTGGGACAGTATGACAGCCCAGCCACACCAGTGTAATGTAGTAAGGTGTAAGATGCCTAGCTAGCTAGCTTAACTTAACGCTGGTCACCTCCACGTGGTGACACTACCAACCAAGAGGTTATGCCCGCAATATAGTTTCAGGTAAATTCTTTTGGTTCTTAACACTTTACCTCTCACATAAAGTACAACGACCATAAGAGAACAACACTGAGGTTCACCATACACACACGGGTCACCAACAAATCTCGCCAAGTTCTTTCTCGCTATGGCAGAGATATTGTACTGGTTTTACACAATCTCACTCGAGGTTAGGTTTCTCAAGTCATGCAATTGTAGGTCACTGCGAGAGAACAACTTGAGATTTGGTCACAACCCCAATGACCCCTACGTGTGGATGGTTAAACTGGGGACATCAGCCGTAAGGATCCATAAGATTCGTCTCGTCTAATGAATAACTTCACTATTCTTAACATATCAATCACAAATGTACTGAACACATGATGCTGTGAATCTGTCTGATAGAGGAGTGACTTAGCTGTAGTTTGTATCTGATTATACCACACGTCTGCACAGACTCGAGGCAGGCACAAAATGTGAAACGTCTACGGGGCATCGCTTATCTGGTTGTGAAGTTTTGTCATACCCAATCAAACAGTAAAAACGGCTATGGTCACCTCGGAATTACAAACCCAACATCACCCATTAAAAGGAGCCAGAGTTGTCAAGTGGTTCTAAAATAAGCAACCAATTTAATATAATCACACTTTTACTTAACATGATACCTTCCTAAACGCACAAGGTAAATTATTGTGAGATTCTGCCAGGATATAGAAAATGTTTACTATTACCCACTAACCACAACAAAATCCCTAACCAAGCTAACCCACCTTATTCACAGGCATTAAATACGCTTTCTATTCACTCCATTCCACATATTTTTTCGTCAAGCCCTGGCCCACATTTGTTGGTTGACAAAAATATCAATGAACCATAAAAACAAGTCACTTCACCAGAGTGAGCGGCGGTGAAAATTCCATCACGCAATACAGTAAAAACTGATGTAAATTGATGAAAGGTCAAGATATCTATTAAAACTGCAAAGAAACACGACTCCCTCCATCTAAATATGAGAGAGAGAGCAACATCATCAGTGAAAGTTGAGCGACACAACACTATTGACAAAAGTCTTCATTCCGCACATTCCTCCTTGAAAGACATCTTCAATCAACAAACATAACATCTATGGTACACAAACACATGCTCCACATTACCTGAAGGCAAATCATTACGCAGATGGCCAATAACCGAGATAATTTTTAATAAAATCGCAAAAAATGTCATCATAGCACAAAATACACATAATGGTTAACCTTTTGGCTATTTGTATGATAATAAAATGGTGGACTGAAATCAATCACGCTCGCTAGAAAGTGCCAAAGACATTACCAATAGTATCTAATCAAATCCTCCTCATAATACTGCACGACACTAATACATGACACACCGAGTTAACACTTTAAAAACGACCTAACACTTGCATCAAAGGCGGCCATAATGTAACACTATTTTGACTATGGGTTCGGTCAATCCTTGCAAGTGTTAAAACAGAATAATAACAATGACATTCTTACATGATATGGAAACAGCTGACTGACTGTATGTACTTCAACAAATACCATCACATTATGGCATGTTACGGCCGACACAAGCAAACAACTGACTACACCCGACAGGAAATAAATAAATAAATAACAATACCGTACTGTAAACACTACAGTAATATTACAGTGTAGTCAAATTACAATTCTTACACAGCTGAATGACAATTACTGTACGTGCATACTTAAATGGTTTGAGACACTTATACAGTATACAATTACCGACCACAACAATCATTTTATTTTCATTCGAGGTGACCGACAATGTTGTGTAAAAGTAACGAATTGTAAACTTTGCAAGAAACTTCAGTGTTGTACTTCTGGATAACTCTGTTAGTGGGAAGGTCTGGCAAATTCTGTATCACTAAAATGACCTCAAAAGCAGGAGAAACGCAACATAATCGGCAAACTTTATGAACACCGGCACCACTACATGACACTACCTTAACACAAACGAGACTCGCTGCTTTTCTTGACATGCACCTGTCTATTAAAACTCTGTACAGTAAATAAAGTCACGGCCTTCAACGGTTCACAGCAAAACGCAAATCAAGTAAAATGATTATACAGCGATGATGGCTGATGTAATTACCAAAGGAAAAGATTACGGAGAAGCTCAACACTTTATACCTTACTATGTTTGGATGACAAGTTCTTGACTACCGGTACCTGTATGTTGGTTTTACGCATACGACACTAAGTTTTATGCATACTACACCAATCAATTGAAGAAAAGGAAAATACAGGTGTGAATTTACAGCAATAACATTTAAAAGTTCCAGTGAAGCATCTCCACCTCACCATCAACGCTCCCTCACTGAGTTACGATGAATTAATGAAGAACAGACGACACGAACCAAACCTAACCCAATTAAAATAACCGAAGATCATTACATCAGGGCTGATCAGTGTCACCTTTCATCATGAATGTTTTAGCCCAGAGCCTCCCCGAAGGAGTATTGCTGACAAAATGGCAATCGTACGTTGAAACACTTTAAATATTGATGTAGCAAGTTCACACACATTTTTTTCCATTACTGTAACCAGATTCGCACTCTCTGCATTACAATAACCGCAATTATAGAGATTGATATTAAACTAATAAACACGCGTCCACTTCCGTAATATTTACCCGAGATTAATAACCTGTAACGAATATGGTACTTTGGAGTCCAGAACCTCCTCACTACAAATAAAAAATCAAAACACCATAATATATTGTAATATTAACTACTACAGGTACTACTCACTTTTGAAAAGGGAGGAAAAAAGCACACTGATGACCATTTTTCCGAAGGTTGCTAACATGACCAGAGCAATGTGGGGTAAAAGGCGTTCTACGAGCCTGAATTTCCTCTTAAGACTCTCCCTGAAGTGTGTGTGATCGATGAGAAATATTTACTGGTGAAATAGACACAGTAGGAGGAAGGTTGGGGGTCTAGCCAGAGATGAGTCATGGTGAAAAAGACATTTGTTAAGCCTAAACTTTTAAAATTAACACTTTCTGGGATGTACAAGACCTATGAGGAACTATTGATGGTAACACGATGAAGGGGAAACACACAGCAGATGAATGACAAACACTTCCTTCAGTGGCTGGGATGACAGTCAGTGTGGAGTAAACGGCAGTCTAACGGCCCTGAATTTCCTATGTTAAGTGTATATGACGGATGAGAAACACTTGTTGGTAACTTACGAGAACGGATGAGGACAGCCGGGATAGCAAAGAGTGAGGTGGATGATGGGGGTAGGACGTTATGATTATGTTATGTGAAGTCAAGTTACACGAAGTCTGCATTACTAAAATTCCTGTGTGAAGTGTACAAGATGGATGACCAACTGTAATCAGTGTGTCAGGGAAGGGGTGAGAAGGTTGAGTGTGTGGAAACAGTGAGGGTGTTCATGTTATATCGGGTTAAAACACGGCATGATAGACTTTATGGGATTTGTGTGTGTGTGTGTGTGTAAAGAAGAAGTTTATAGTGAGTTTATGGGCCTAAAATTCATTATTATATTAACTTTGGATTCCTGAGCTTATATTGTATACAAAAATCAAGTGTTGTAGAGATCAGCATCTACAACACTCGAATTCTTGTACAAATTTAAGTTAAGGAATTCAAATTTAACATAAGAATTATATTTTGGCACATATACACACTATAAATATCTTTAAAAAAACATATACACAAAGGTTCCATACACATTCTCTTGCCAACACTGAACCCAATTTACCTCTCAAACAAAGTGCTCAGAAAACTTTGCAGCACTATTTCTTTAGTGAAGAGCAAAGGATGGGAGAGTTATTACCAACTAGGAAATAGGAACAAAAATAGCAGGTTGATTGTGACCATTTACCTGAAGTGATGATGCAGGTAATGTGTCGTGAAAGGCATTAGAAAACCATTAACTTTGTTTGTGAAGTGTATGTAATGGATGAGAAAATAGTTGTGATAAGCAAAGGAAGGTTATAGGCATGGGAGGTTAATGTAGAAGACGAAGGTGAAGTGAGATGATAAAGGTGTGAGGAAAAGACATTGTACACTGTTGAATTCCCTATCTGACGTGTATGTAATGGATGAAAAACTCTTGCTAGTAACTTAGAGAAGGGGAGAGAAATGCAGGGTGAGTGTAGAGGGTGTGGGTGAAGGGGTTGGGATGTTAAACACGAGCATGGCGCGGCGGCCACAGGAGGAGGAGAGCGGCTGGTGTACCTGCCTGCCTGGCCACTCACCACCACCACCACCACATCCACACCTTCCCTCACCTCGTAGCTGTGGGCCTGGTGCTTCTCGATGAACCTGCAAAGATACATCACACATTACAAAGTGAACGTTCAGTGAGCAATAGCCTAGTCTCAGAATTCCAAACAAAAGGAGTGGCTGCATTCGTGACAAACAAATGGCGGGCATCCTAACCCTAGACCAGCAGATATAGACCACCATATAACGACTTTACTTCCACTTACCCATCGCTAATACGTGGTAGTTTCCTTGCATGCATTACCATTAATGCAATACTAGGAGGGAAACGTCTCAGGGAGGAGTAGGTTCAGGATATCCAGCAGAAAACCAGCCAGCGAATCGGTTCCTTCAAAATTCTAACATTACGACGCCATATTACATACGGGGATCGCTCTTGGTAACTGACTATGGTGAAGGAACAAGTGTGGAGCAGCTCTCCCTCCAACAACTATCGATCACTCACCATTTATCCTTCATTTCTTATTCTATTATTTTAATTTAAACTTATATATAACAAAAAGTATTTATATTTGTATAAAATATTAAATGTAAGCCCACTAATTGAATAAATTCTTGATTATTTAATGCTTCCGTAATTATTTCTCGATGGTATAAAGGTAAAAATCCGTGACGTCCGACAATAAGTGAGCATCAGTAAGGCGTTGTAAGACATGTTCTGAGGGACAACTTGAGGAAAATCTCTTACTTAGGTTTATTTTGTAGTGTTAAAGTCTGTTTATTGTATAAATACACTAGCTTCTTATTGTTGTTCTCGTTGTCATGCAGGAGCCACAGCTGAAATTTGGCAAATGTCAGAAAGTATTACAAATTTGTGTCGGTAAAGCACTTTTAACCGAGTGTCATGCTGCCATACACTGTTTGTTATTATTATAACTGTTGATTTAGTCCAAGTTCAGAGGAGAGTTTATCTTCATTTCTTTCTTACGTGAAAATATCTAAATTTATCCTCTGCGGCTTTGTTGTTTAATTTAGGCAGTGGATTATTGGACCATTTAGCGGCAAATGGCAGGAAAGTGTTAACTTGCCTTGAAAGCACTTTCTTTACTGTACGGAATTAGCGTCAGCACATAGTAATGGTGTAGAAAGTCGCAATATTTTATTAGACGGTATTTTTACTCCTTTGGTTTTGTGTTATTAAGAGCAACAGATCGATCATGACATACTTTAGTTTACCTCAGGGTTAGTTTGTCTTTTTTTTATAATTCGTAGCACTAAAGTAAAATAAATAGTTGTAATTTACCCAAAACTTAGTCAAGGTCACTCATAGTGACGTTATTCACTTAAATCAAGCATTACATCTGTAGGGGAAGTGTTTTAGATTGGATCTGTATAGTTGATGGTGTTTTATTCGTTGAGTTATTCACCAAAATGTTTGTATGATAACACTGTACAAAACTGTTGGAGGATTAAGGAAAAAAGTGAGTGAAAACCACCTATGAAACAATGGGTATACTGTACTACTTAACACAAACAAGGTTAAATCAGAGTCACTGAACTCTATCTTGGCATTAGCAGGAATACGGCCGAGTTTGGCAACACTTAATGGTTCATTCCTGTTACAGTGAAATGGAGTTCAGTGATGGTATAATGTGTAGAGGTAATAACACATGCTGTGAGCCTCAAGTAGTACCTTTAGTGTTGTTCAGACTGACTCTTTCTTACCCCACTGTCACTATTCACGTCTTTTCGGTCTGTATTAAAACAAAAACACATATAGTGGATATAGTGATGGCGAAATATGTAAATGTGATGTGTCAGTATAACTGTTGTCTTCCTCAGGGTCATGGCTCCTCCTCACCCATTATGGATTTTAGAACTGTACAGTGGAATTGGGGGAATGCACACTGCTGCCAGAGGTGAGGGTCTTCTGAGTGTATTTTTACAATTATTCTGCAGTGGAAGACAGTACCGACTCAAGGCTTTCAAAATCAACTAATTTCTGGCTTTTTTACCTGCCTAAATCTCTAACTAGTTACAGTGTAAAGTTATTTTGAACGTTCTGGAGACTAGGAAAAAGTACTTGGCATGGGAGGGGACATGTTGATTCCATTGAAATTTGTGGTGTGTTGTAATGTATATAATGTGTACCAGATGGTTTGATATCACCTTTTTGTGGAGTCAGTGTTTTGCTCCACACAACTACCTGGTAGACAGTGGGAAATGGTCATATGTTCATTTATCAATTGCTAACTAATATTTAACCACTGACAGGTAAATTATCTAAACTTAAATGTATTTTTTTTTAATATTGCATCATATCAACTACAACCATTAAAAAATCTTAAGTGTCAGGGGAATAGCTTGGGAAATGTCCAAAGCTTCTGATGTCCACCTATAGTGTGTCACTGTTCACTGGCTATCCCTTTATCCACTCACTGTAATAGAGGTTCTGTTCTGCCTATACCTTTTTTGCCTCACACAGCCTAACATCACCCATCAATACAGTAGTAGTGTATGCCAATCCAGCAAAACATCTTTACTTAAATTCTACTTGTGTTATTCTCTTCGTCTCAAGAGAGTGGGCTGCCCTTTGAGATAGTGGGGACGTATGAACTTAACCCCACGGCTCTGGAAGTGTACCGTCACAATTTCCCGGGAACCAACAAACCTCGCAACATTATGGGCCTTACTGTGGAAGAGCTGACGAACCTTAACCCCAGTGTGATCATGATGAGTCCTCCGTGCCAGCCATTTACAAGGTGTGTACCAAGCTTGTGTATGATAGTGTTAAGTGAAACATTTCTCCCCATGTCATAGTAATCACAATCAAAACTCATTTCTAATTAATTTTTCAAATGTGTATTCCTTACATTCTGAATTTTAGACATATTTACTATTACAGTAGCACTGTATTTGTTTAGTAAAATGTTTTAATTAGGCAACTTTACATTTTGTGGTATAAAGTGAAGAATTAATTTTTATACCAGAGAACTATTAAGAAAGCTTCCCATTCATTGTTAATTCTCTATATGTTTGTGTTTTTGGTCTGTGTTCTCACTCCCCAGGGCAGATGTGTTGGGTTGCCACCTCGGAAGAGCCTCCCAGGAGCCCCTTCTCCTCCCATGTTCTCTCCTTTAAAATTGTCTTACATTGTCCCCTTATGAATTATACTACCTAAGAGGACATGTTTGTTATTGTGTGTGATAAAACATTTGTGTCAGGCAGGGTCTGAAACGTGACGTGGAAGATGCTCGAACGTCGTCCTTCCTGCACCTTTTGGGCCTTCTGGAGGAGGTCCTTCGGCCACCAGACATGATACTCCTGGAAAATGTTGCTGGGTTTGAGACATCACTTGCTAGAGACCGACTTGTGAGTCTGCTCAAGACAAGAAATTATGTCTGGCAAGTAAGTACAGTAGTGCAGGTGAAGAAGTTATCAGAGAATATCTTTTATGGAGTCTCCTTGAAGGTTAGATAACGATTGAAGAGTCATTGGATATACATGAACTTAGACTTTTCACTTTTATGGTATTTTATATTTCTTTACAACTAGTTTTTATAAGTACAGTATAGTAACTACAGGAATCTAAGGAATGGGGAATCAGCAGCACCTTCCTTGACATTTTTTTTCCCCATAGAGCACAAGGACAAGGAATACTGTACTTGGTAGTTGAGTGTGTGTGTGTGGATGCAATGAAGATGAAAGGAAGTGTTGTCCCTGTTGTTGGTCTGTCTGTCTGTCAGGCACAAAGTGTAGACTGTAAGTTTGTATAAAAACTCAACGAGTGCTGACCATACTGCGACTGCTACCTTCCCGACAACTTTGAGGCACTCGTGCTAACAGGAGACTACACACCCCAACAAGTGCTCAGTATTGGTGAAGCTGGTCTGTTTTTTTAGAAATCCTATGATATCTCAACCAAGAAGTGGGATCTGGGGTTTCAAGGCTACAAAGGACCACGTACCTTATCTTATCTGTGGTGTTACATCAAATGCAAGCTGCTGTTAGCATACCACTTGCAGAATTTCCCGGTACAGTACTAAAAGATTAGATCTACTTACATTGCCTGTCCATAGTCCACTGGCATTCTAACAAAAAGTGTGGGTGATAATATCATTTCAGATTGTTGACGAGTAGACTTTCAGCTGTGAAGTTGAGTGTTTGTGAGAGACGACTACAGTATTTTTAACTATTAAGTGACCTAAGATGTGTTACTACAGTACAGTACCTCTATTTGAGTCATACATGGTGGTGACTTAACTGGTGCTGCTGACATTATGAATCCAATATCTCAGTCATCAATTCTACATTACAGGAGTTCTTGTTATCTCCGACCCAACTTGGTGTTCCCAACTCTCGACTAAGATATTACATGTTGGCCAAGCAGAAACCAGCTACTTTCTGCTTCACCTTGTCTGACAAGGTGAGTACAGTATTATTAACATTGACTATCTGATGTTATAATTTAAGATGGTTTTAATGATTTAATATCTATCAATTTCAATACTGTATATCTATCTGTCTACCAGTATAAATTGTCTTTTGTGTAAAATAAATATGAAATATGTAACAAAGTTTGTGAATTTTTTCATCTTTTGCAAAGGAGACTTTGCTATTCCTGTTTTCAAATTTTGTTTTCCCTTATGCTGGGAAGAAATTTTAGTATTAGTAATGCTTTCAGTCCCAACTGCTCGACTTGATGGTGGCATATCTATGAGTGTTCTTAAACTATATAATGCACTTGTGTAGTAAAAATTCCTTTTATTGGATCAAAAGTTAATTCTTCTTATCCCCAACAGGTGCAGGAGGAGTTTCCTCTGTGCCTGTGTGTTAAAGTTGAGGATTCTGTCACGAGTAAAACTGGATCTTGTCATCGTTGTACCAGACCTCTCCTGAACTCCCTTCACACCCTCCTTCACAAGTTCCACTCTGACAGACACCCAGGAAGTTTACATGCAGTTACTTCATACACCCAAGTGTTGCCATCACTCTCCCACTACCTGAGCCTCACAGACAACCTAGAGCCATATTTGTTGAAGGATAAGATACTAAACAAATACCACATGCTCCTTGACATTGTAGACAGAGAATCCCAGAGATCTTGTTGCTTTACCAAAGGCTATGCTCATTATGTTGAGGGAACTGGCTCGGTCATACAACACAACACCACCGTAAACATGGCAGAGACATACTCGAAGGTGCAACTACTGGCTGCCGACGATTCACACAGGCTAGAACTATTGAGAGAACTCCAGCTGAGGTACTTCACTCCTGAGGAAGTAACAAAGCTGATGTGTTTCCCCGACTGGTACGACTTACCTCAGTCAATCACCAACAAGCAGAAGTACAAAGTGTTAGGCAACAGTGTCAATGTCCTGGTCGTAACGTCTCTTCTGTTGATGCTAGCGGAGAATTAATAAAAAGGTAAGCTAGAGTTTGTTTTATTTTTGTTCCCATGTTCTTAGTAGTCATTTTTGGATCCCATGAAGATTAGGAACAACATAATTACTGTGCTTATTTCACCTGATGATTAGACACCCTAGAAATTAATTTGGGAGTAGGTTCGATTGGGTTAGATTTGGTTAGGTTAGATTGCATTAGGTTAGGTTTAGATAGGTTATCATAAAGGTGTTAATCATCAGTTGAAATAAACCATTGATGCCTAAACTTTCTTTGTGAAGGAATTAGTGACCAATGATTTATTTTATTTGAGATTTTTCAAAGAGTTTTTTGTACAGTACAGTACTCTATCTGAAGGTATCAGTAAATTTATTATGTACAAAAAAATCAGGGGTGAGTGGCATTGGTATCTGAGGTATACACACGAATATATTAACAGTATGGATGTTTCTTGTACTTTTTGATGATTTTTCAAAATTTTTAATATGTCCGGTCTCAAAACTTCTATCAGTGACTTCCTGAGCAGGGCGTGTTGTTGTTGGTGGTGGTGGAGTGAAAACAGTGTGACAGACCTATATTTAACTGACTATGGAAAGGAAAGTCCGCTATATCGAGGGTCCGTTAGATGTGAAGCTTCCATCTTATGAACTGTATAGAGTTTAATGTCTGTTATATCGAGGGTCTGTTAGAAGTGAAACCTCCGTATAATGAACTGTATAGAGATGATAGTCCGTTATATGAAGGTTTTACTGTACTGTATCATGATGAATCTTGTGTTAGTACTGTACCTCCTCGATTTTGGTTCAGTCGGAAAGAAACTATTTGTCTGTTTTTCGAATTTCCTGACTGTCCCTATTTTTATTTTTTTATTTTATTTATTTTTATTTTTTGCCTGTGAAGGAATATAGTACAGTGTATAACACAAGAAAAAGAATGTGTTTGTTTTTCTTTAGGTCAACTTTGAGAACAGTATGGTAGATCATCAACTTTCTCTTCTTTGTATTAGCTATACAGGTACTCCCCGACTTACAACGGGGTTAGGGACCGACATCCAGGTCGTAAGTCAAAATGGTCGTAAGTCGGAAATGCTTAAATAACACATAGAAAGTAAAAAATTTGGGTCCCTTTTTCTTCTCAGCACCACAAAACACTCACTTTTAAACTTGCCAGCCATTTTAAAGTGAATTACAGATGAAAATTTTGTCTGTGTACTGACTTTGGGACTCAAAAATACACAATTTGACCACATTTTGGTACGACTGAGGCGGTCGTAAGTGCGGGTGGATGTAAGTCGAGTCGGTCGTAAGTTGGGGACTACCTGTAGTCTGTCGTTTAAGTGCTGTATAAAAATGGTTGTATTTACAGGTAACAGTATTTAATCTACAGCTTTGTATAGTTTGTTTACTGGTTCATTATCTACATATAGCAGTTACAGAATATACTTAGTGCCTTAACAAAATAATACTGGGAAATAAATGCTTCAGGTTGAAAAGTAGATGCTGTATATAATGTAGGATTTAATGAAAGAAATATACACACAGTTAATACCGATTCATTATGTACTGTATATGGGAAATACTACACTAGATGAAACATTCTTCCTTTATACGTTATTCCTCACGTGACAACACCATGAGACGTCTCATCCCGGCTCACCTGGACGTCAACATGCTTTAGTGTAGGTGAAGGTCGCGTGTTACTGAAAAATAGTATCCTAACACCTGTGACTCGGTAATGACTTAGACACTTACATACCGGGTATGTAAAAAAAAATGTGTTGGGGTAAATGTGTTTGTGTGTGTGTGTGTTTGATGTGTATAGGCAGAGAGGGAAAGAGCGAGACGGTGATGAAGAGGTTAAAAAAAAGCCTACAAGAGTGAAAAAAACTACAGATGAATGTATTTAGTTAAAGCTATGTATTATTTATTTACTATATTATGATGTACATTTCCTAGCACAATTCAAGTTTATTCCCAGGATTTACAACAAAGGCCCTGTCTGTGATGGATGTGGTCTTTGATCATCCTGCAGGAAATACTGTATCATCAAGTGTTGCATAGTGTAGTGTGATGGATGTGGTTCTTGATCATCCTGGAGGAAATACTGTATCATCAAGTGTTGCATAGTGTAGTGTGATGGATGTGGTTCTTGATCATCCTGGAGGAAGTATTAACAATTGTTGCTTTTTAGAATGAAGTGTTATTTCTTAGGTCAGTTTAATAGTCTTGATAAGGGTCAGCAACTCTTGGAATATCTGAAAAAGAAAAGAATTATTACTATCAATCAGACACTAGAACAAATTTGAGATTATTATTAGGCATTATTTAACCCCTTCGCTACAGGGACGTCACTTTTGATATTTTATTTGGCTAACACGACGATTTTGTTGAGCAGAGAGGGGACCCCATACACAAGTAGTTAATGGATACAGTATTACCAATAGATACTGATATTAACAGTTTCAATCAGTGTAGAGGCTAGAGATTTATTTTATACACAATGAATACAAGGTGAGGATATATGCAAGTTTGTGTGGGTGTTTTTATGACTTTATTTTGGTATATTCCTATCAAACCTTCTGAACTTGTCTTGATTACATTCCACTAGATTCTCAAATACATAGACAATTGACTTTGTTTAGGGAGGGGGACACTGTACTGCTGATGGGTGTGTGTGTGTGTGTGTGTGTGAAGCAACATGGGAAAACAGATGAGGTTAGAAATGGGGATTAAGTTAAGTAGGGTGTAAGGAGGTTAAGAATGAGGATTAAGTTTAGTTAGTGAGGTGTATAATAAGGGTAAACTAGGCTGGTCAGTTTAGGATAGGTTAGCTTAGTTTAGATTAGTTTATGTTTGGTCAACTTAGGTTAAGTTTGCTCCAGTTAGGTCAGTTTAGATTGGCTTAGCAAATTTAGAAGATTAGAATGAAGGGGAAAATGAAAGTCAGCTTGAGATTACTTACCCAGGCAGGCACAGGGGCCGGGGACTCGAGAATTTCATCAACCAAGATCTGCAATTTTCCTTTCCCCTCCTGTTGGTGAGATGGCCAGGGAGTTATGAGGGTCTATCCAGACTGTTGTATGTTTAGATATACAGTAGATTCTAATTCAAAAGGCCTATTACCAGATTTGTCTCCTTATATATCAGTAAAAATTGAAGTGCCTTGTGTGTTCTTGATGGATGTGGCAACACAGTCACGAGATGGCAGGCAGTGTGTGTGTGAGAGAGAGAGAGAGAGAGAGAGAGAATATGAAGACGCCCTCACCAGGTAAGCAACAATACACTCGCCCATTAGGACGTCCACTGCCAGGGGCCCCACTCCCTCGAAGGGCATGTCGTGTCCCGTATTCCCATACTCGTACACCATGTCCCTCTCTGCTGCTGCTTGGGCAGGTGAGGCTGATGGTGGATTAATTGATGCAGTTAGTGAGGCTGGCAGTAAATCAATACTCTTCCAATTTAATAATAATAATGAAAGTATAATAATGGAGGTACACAGTAACACTTAATCTTGAACTCTTAATCAGAACTGTAATTGGGAAAGAAGAAATGTTGATAAATTTTGAAACGAGCTGACAACAGGAAAATTGGTCTCTTAATAATCCAAACAAGTTTGCCACTGTACTAGGAAGGGTTCAGTTTATGTCAGTGGGAGTGAAGGTGTTTAGGGGTTATATTCCTACTAACCTTTTGGATGATGGCTATTGGCTGTGTGGTCGAAGTCCCTGCTGGTCCGTTGTTTACCTTCACCTGATGAGCCGGAGGAATGGAGGTGCCAGTTTTTATTGTTTTCGTCTACTTTGAACCTGTCGAAGCAGTCATGGTCGGGCTCCTCCAGCAAACTCTGTAGGAAGGAACCCACTTGTAGCATTGCAGTACTCAATCATCTTATTTGCTTTTAACATAGAAGGGGAGAGAGATTTATTGTTCTGTACTAGAAACAGGAGATGATCTGGATGTCCCCCAAATGCCAGGTGTACTGAGAATTACAAACATAATTATTCATATTTTGAGATAAGAGTACTTCAGGTATTGTCATTCTTTCATATCCACTCCAGCACTAAGTATCCCCTTTTCAGAATTAATCTTCCATAGAGAAACAAAATGCCACTTATTAAGACTATGTTGTGACCACCATCCTTTCTTCAACCACTACAGAAAGGCACATATACAATTCAAGCAACTCATTCCAAATCCTTTCTATTTAATCTACACAACTCTGCCCCTTACACCACCTAATGTGTACTTTAAGTGGACTGTACTGTTGTTATCATAGAAGTATATGCCAAGTTGGTCATGCAGTAGTGAAGATGTTAACGATGAAACGGTTGGTTTACATTTATCTCCGCTCTTTCAAGCATTTTCTGACTATAATACAAAGAGGCTGGAACGAAGAGGAAATGCAGTCACAAAGATTCCTCCTTCATCCACTGTTAATCATTCACTCCTGCTGGAGAAACTAGAATTGTTACTTTGATGTGACCTTTATTGTCCAGTGTTAGTACAGGAGAAAGCTGGACAAAACCTGCCATGTTTGATAGTGTCGCTGCATAACACCCTTCTCACATCTGGCCCAGACCAGGGATCAAACTTGAGACACAGTGGTGCATCACCAATATTAACCTTATGTTATGCCACAACATAGAGGGACTCACCTTGACAGGCTCTGTGGTGATGAGGAGCTCCTGGGCCATGGAGGAGTAGATGGCAGCAGGTCCGTTTGGCAGGATCTTTGAGTGACTCACCCTTTTGAGTAGAGCGCCGCCCTTCGTGCATAGTAAGTTTGCTCTCTGTTTGGCCACACCGGGAGACAAAGGGAAATAAAAGAGACTTGGTTTAATATAAGTATGGTGGTTTAGATATAAAGTACAGTACTGTAGGATAAATAACATGTATTGTGATGCAATACACTACATGTATACTCTATTCCCTGAGAATATACAGAATGGTAACATTGAGCTAGAACAATCCTTCCTCTGTATAATATTATGGCAAGTTAAAGATATTAGGACGTTAGATTAGGTTAGGATTATTTAAGATTAGGTTAAGTTAGACTCAGTTAACAACACCTCTTCTGTCGTGGCTACACATGGCTGTGTAAAGTCAGTTTTGAAATAAAAAAAAAGTTGTGCAACTTCACGAAAATGCTCAACACACTCGCCTGGTTCAGATGGGCATTGTATTTAATGGCGTGGGCGATGCAGCTGTTGAAGGACTTGATATATTTGGCGTGAGCGTTGGTAGCACATCGAGCTATGATCTGTGGCAGCCAATCCCTCACACACACTTTGATCTGATGGCCATACACCACAACAACAGCGCAATGAACAGCGAACCACCACCATTAGGTACAGCAATGATGACAACAGGACCAGCAGGATCAAGAACAACAATAACAACATTAGAGTAGAGGAAACAATAAGGAACATAAGTAATTTTTACCCCACAGCCACTAACACCCATAGGCTGTAGTCAGGATCCAAGTTGTGTCAGCATAAGTCTTGTACTCTTTTCCTGTACTTGAGTTTCCCCAAATAACCCAGAAAAAACAACAAACAACTGACTCTCTGTGATCCTTCAGGGTGCCCCTCAAAAGTGAAGTCAATAGTTGGATGCCATAAAATTTGCATAAATTACATATTTTACAATTTCTTGTACATACTGACTTCCATCTTTTAGCCTATTTTCTCAAAATTATTTCTTGCACCTAAATATAAGGTGACTAGCAAAAAACTGGTCAAAATTTTGGTTAGGTGAGTTTTTGTCTTTACCTGTATGTCATGACCAGACAGTGTGTTGTGAAGAATAACCAGGTGTCCCATACATCATTATCTGAGTCACAATTAGAAGTCAGACATCAAATATATCTTTTAAAATACTGTTGTCACAAGTGCTGGAGGATATTTTTATGAGCTATTTTTGTCTGTCTATCTGTTTACTGTTTTATCTACCTTACTTGAAATTTCCCAAAGATGGACATCCCAAGGAAGACATGTACTGTACAGCATGTTATGAATCCTCCAGGGATGTAGAAGTGCCTCTTAAGGGTGAAATCTGTAGGAGCACCTTTGATAGTCATAATTTTGTAGCCATCAGCAGCCAAGGGGTCATCTACAGTTAATGGAGATTTATTTTATCTATTAATTTATTTACAGTATTTATTTATGTTCTAGCTAGACAGAGGCTTCACTGGGCACTGAAATATTGTCTGGGGGAATGTAAGATAGTACAGTACATCTCCTTCTTATAGTTATGCAGAAAATTATATCCTGGAGTGTTACATCTGTGTTAATCTATTATACGGTACTGTACACTGTTGAGCTAAATTGTGTGTGTGTGTGTGTCTAACTTTGTGTACAAATTTATGACTGTGTATGTGTGTGTGTAGCCATATACTATACTCTACCTTTATATATGTGTATTTGTGTCTCAGAAGTTAGTTGTGTGTGTGTGTGTGTGTGTGAGAGTACAGTATGTCATTGTGTGTAAGCTTGAATAGTGCACCTCCTCACAACCCAGCAGCACAGTACAGTACCTTTTTGAAGTCCTTGCCAGAGTTGTGGAAGCACTGTTGGCAGCTGAGGCTGTAGCGCTCATCCTGGAGCTCCTCACACACCTCCAGCCCAGCCTTGGGCCACTCCACATTGACATTCCTTGCTATACGTTGACTGTGTTCTAGTGTGGCTCCAAGTACCTGTCGTGGTGATAGAGATGTGCTTGTTTACAATAGTTTGATGACATTTTGGGGGGTTATTTTAGGTGAAATTGTCTTAATTTGTGATATTTTGGGCTCTTTAAAAACTGCTTTTTGGTTAGTTTAGTTAATATTTTGTTCATAGAGTATAGGCCAATTTAGGAGGTTATTTTATGCTTTTAGTCCATTTTTGTGGGTTATTTATAATAATAAAAGAATGTGTTACCTGGCCATATTGTTACCTGCCTAAAATACCTGTTGTGTAAATGTACTTAAAACTTGAATATGTACTTGTACTGATGTCTCTGAATAAGACTTTTAAAATGAACTGATACTTCACCACATGTCCCTTACTCTGTGTGTGTTTTACTATATGGGGTGTGTGTGTTACTGTGGTTGCATGTATTACTTGGTAGTTATATATATATATATATATATACACACACACAGTATGTATATGTATGTGTGTGTCATGTACTAGCTCTCAGTCATATCTAGGTTAAGACACCACCTGTAGGAAACTGTGTCGCTTGGGAGGAATTAATGAACTTTACCTGTACTTCATGTACTTGTATCTACTCGTCCCTGTAACCTGTATACAGTTAAGACACCACCTGTATGAGATACCTCTTGAGAATCACTGAACCTTTAACTAAACTGTACAGTACAGTACCTAATTCTGCAGCTGTCCCTTTAACTTTTCTGAATTAACATTCTGTATCAGTTAAGGTTCTTGTTTTATCACACTGTACTTTCATCTCATAGGAATTACTGTACCCGTATTTTATATCTAAATCATTACAGTATCTATTGTGATGTTTCTGATTAAATTTATTGTTTTATCTTTTAAGTTTGTCACTTTTATGTTACAGTATTGTCTCCCATCTTGAATTGCTGTAATGTACTGTATCTGTACTTTGTATTTAGATTTATAATCTTGTAGGTAAACTTTCTATATTAACACTTTGAATGTTGTCACCACATAGGAATTGCTGTAACTGTACTCGACACATAAATCTGTGTTCATGTAGATAATTCAGATAAAACTTGGTGAATCTATTACAGCACCACTACAGTATATGGAAATTACTGTAGCTGAACACCAAGCATAATTTTAAACACCCTTTCAATATTTGTGGACAAATTTTCTGAACGTGAACACAGTTGTCCTACCGTGGATGCTGCCAGGAGTTGCAGCAGGAGTAACTGTTGCATCCTGATGCTAGCTGGATTCTCTCTGTGTCTCCAGGAGGATTTGGAGGTGTTGTAAGGAGGTCCACAGGCAGGTGAGGTCACCCCACACAGGTGTAAGTGAGTGAGGCACACAGGTGGTGGTGGTATGTGGGTGGGTGAGGAACCTAATGCGGTGGGGGTGATGTGTGACGACTGGCTGGCTGGGGACCTCAATGTATGCCACCTGCACCACACACCTGGCTCTCCCTCTTCTTCTGACTAACCCCCCTCCCCCCCCCCCTCCACCTCCTCTCACCTATCTTCCCCTTCCCTTACCCCTACCGGGTATTACACCTCCCCTGCATCTGCCATCCTCCCCCTTCTCCCTTCCTTATCTCCTATACCTCCCCTTCTCCTTTCCTTACCTCCTACACCTCCCCTTCCTTACCTCCTACATCTCCCCTTCTCCTTCCTTCCAAGTCCTGCACCCCCCTTCCTTCCTTCCCTCGTACACCTCCTTTCCTCCTCCTCCCCCCCCAGGTGTTCACGTCATCATCATCCATCATCAGTGTACTGCGTCGCACCACACTCATTAATATTCACAGGTTTCGTCTGGGTGGGGGCAAGCCTTCGACAGTCCGACAAAAACCATCATTTATTCCTCCTCCTCCAGTTTTCAGATGTTAATTCTTTATTCTTTAATTCCTTGTACAGTCACATAAAGAAGATGTCATACTGAGTTTGTGTAATTGTCAAGAAATTGTTGGTTTTTTATCTTAACTTATCAAGCAAGTCTTAACATTCAGAAATGGTATATTGTCTTTCCTTCTCCATTTTTAGAACATTTGTATTTTTTGTACTTAACTGTTACTCAAATTCTTTATGAGTGAGATAATTAAATGGGATAATATAAGTAATATAAAAAGTAATACAGTACAGTTCTAAATCATCCCAGAATTATTGTTACCAGTAAAAGATTGTCGTCAGTGAACATCTTTGCTTTTGAGGATATTAATTAAGTTCACATGGGCTGACTTTGTGCTGCGAATATGAAATGAGCTTGAAGAAGGCTGAGCACAGTGCCAGGTGCAGGTGATTATGTTTGTAGCTTATGGAAACATTTACATTTCATTTTAACTTTTTACGATTCATTTAAATGTTGATGTAGTTTTCAAATACATATGAATATTATTTGGAAGTTTTAACCTAACCTAATCTTACCTTACCTAACCAAACCTAACTTCACCTAACCAAACCTAATCATCTCTTTTGTTGTGTGTGGAGGAGTCTGTTGAGGTCGAGTGAGGTTATTGAGATGAGATTTCTTGTACTGTACAGGGATAGAGAGAAGAGTTCTTTTATGTGCTTATTGACAGCATTCAATGAGCATATTCTCAAAGGTTCATATATTGTAGTTTTCATTGCTAATTAAGTGAAGGTAAAAGACTGTTCATTAATTAGATAGATTAATGTTGTCATCATAAATGTTCATAAATTAGATAGACAGATTAATGTTATCATAAATGTTTATAAATTAGGTAGACATTAATGGTGTTATAAATGTTCATTAATTAGACAGACAGACTAATGTTGTCGTGAATGTTAAAATATTAGGAATTGATTTATTATATCATGGATGCATAAATTGATTTAAGGTCCATTCCTCATGGACTCCATCCTTAATGGGGCCCAGTTCTTATGGATGCCATAATGTCCTAATGGGCCCCAGTTCTCATGGTTATGTTGGGGACTTTATACAGTGGTCCTAATTTGACTCCAGTTATTATAGTCCGTAATCTTTATGTTTAAGAAGGCTGAGGTTAGAATAGGTTAAATTAGGTTATGTTAAGTTAGGTTAGATTAGGTTAAGGTTTTGCTAAGTTAAGATATGGTCAGGTAGGAGTCTGTGTTAGCATACAAGCCTCGGTGCCTCCTCATGCTAGGGTTGGTGCCATTGCTCATCACTTAACACTGCAGCTGTGTCCAGACGTCACTGGTCATGTAACTTTACTAACTTGGAGCTTCAGTATCTGTTAAGCCAAGTGTCCTGTGTTGAGCAGGTGCTGAGGACCTCTTCTGCTTGGTACGTGAAATGCTTTTATAATCTAACCTAACTTGGATTTTCGCTCATGAACTTTTGAGAATCCATCTTTTTATTGTAACTTAAGTAGGGCAAGTACCGGTAAGTTGGATTCTCACGTACAAACCAATGAGAATCAAGCCTATGAGAATCCAGACTCCAGGGCCACATACATAATTAGCCTTACCATATCTCATAGGTGTGTATCGCTAATTAATCATCTCCTCCAGGTGTTAGTTTATGGGATCACAGGTGAGTATTATTAGGGGGTAGACTCTAGCAGGTGTGTGTGTATGCGTGTGTGCATAGGTATTTGTCAGGGATGTGTTTGTGAGTGTGCAGGTGTAGGGGTGTTGTGTGTAGGTGTAGGAGGTGTTGGTGTGTGTGTAGGTGTAGGAGGTATTGGTGTGTGTGCAGGTGTAGGAGGTGTTGGTGTATGTAGGTGTAGGGGTGGTGTGTGTAGGTGTAGGGGGTGTTCATGTGTGTGGAGGTATGGGTGTGCATTAGGTTGTAGGTTGTGTCTGTCTGCTATTATTGAAGGAATGTTTGCTGGCACATACATAGTTACAAACACTCAATTGTCTACAGGTGTCCCAGAGAGAGAAAAAGAGACATGTTTGTATATTTTTGAGTATATAGTGTGTACATTGTCACTACAGGAAGTCACCTTTCGCTGTTGGGTATTATGTTTCACCGTAGAACATAATTTTTTGTTATTGAATGCCATAGATTAAGTTAAGTGAGATTAGGTAAGCATTAAGTTAAGTTAAATTAGATTAGATTAAGGTGGTTAGGTTAGGTTCGATTAGCATTATTTTGGTTAATTTTAAAAGTGAAATAAGCTGTGGGAGCTAATCTAAAGATAATCTGATTACCTAATTAAATTTTTAAAGGGTGACTGTGATTAAGGGGTATCACTTGGCTGGCACAGGTGTTACACTGAATGACTGTCAGAGGAATCACACGACAGGTCTTTTGGGTTTACGTAAACATGGGATTGGTGCCGCCCTGTCCATCTCCCTCAAGCCAGCCCTCCCCCCTTACCGTGACTTACATTAGTACCCTCTCTTCTACATAAATAACTATGTATATGTACTGTATACACATGCACATGTACAGTACATACACTTAACAGGAAAGTGAATATTCATTGTCATACATATACTGTACGTACATAGGCTTATTGTGTGAATGTAAGCATGCAGCACATACCCGGTACTGTACACCTGCAGGTACCCATACATACATACTGTACTGTACATACATATATGTTCACATACTTATTTACACACATCATCCCAAGTCTCTCTGTAGCTAAATTTCTCTTGAAGTCAAAACCTAATTTTACCTGACCTTGTCAACACCAACACACACCTGTATGCAGGTACATGTCATTTCGGTGATATTTTTATACAAATTAGCATTCAGCAGGTGAATACCAAACACATTTATGACCCACCAGTGAGTAAGATGACAAATATTGCCCAAACTGTCCAGGGAATTTTGCACAAAGTGGTACACATTCATATTGGCTGCCATGACACTTTTTGGGAGATGTGTACCAAAAGCGTAACTTACATGTATTACTGATATTATTTATTGTTGCTTCATGTTGTAACTGTTACTATTGTGTGTGTGTGTTTTTTTTTTTACATGGCTTGTGATCAATAGGTGTGTGTGTGTGTGTGTGTGTGTATTACATGGCTTGTGATCAATAGGTGTGTGTGTGTGTGTGTGTATTACATGGCTTGTGATCAATAGGTGCGTGTGTGTGTGTATTGAAGTTTATAAGAATACTGTATGTGAAATTATGTTCAAAATTACGATGTGGAATACATTTGAAGGGGATCCTCTCTCTCAATATTCATCACCTATGTTCCGGATCCTCCAATATTCTTAAGTTAGTGTTTCCTCATATGAAGATGAGAGAACACATAGAGTTTTAGTAAAGTCTCAGCAATTATGGCCACCATCTCTGTGTTATAACTCAAGTAAGTCAGTTAGATATGTTCTCACAATCCTCACATAAGTATAAGAGCAATTCCCTTAAAGATCCCTTTAAGAATTTGGACAGAGACTAAAAGCTAACCTAAACCTTTACCACTGAATGACCTCATGACCTTTAACATTGAGTGACCCTGTGACCTTTGCATCTACTATATGTGTGACCTGAAAGTTACACCTGAATGGTACTCAACTTGTCTGAAAAGCTGAATGATGTCAATTACTTTATTCATTTGAAAAAAAAAAGTTTGACCCATGAATTTCCATTTATTTCTTTTGATGTTGAATTTATTACAGGTAATATTATTATTATTATTATTATTATTAGTAGTAGTAGTAGTAGTAGTAGTAGTAGTAGTATTATTATTATTATATTATTATTATTATTATATTATTATTATTATTATTATTATTATTATTATTATTATTATTATTATTATTATTATTATTATATTATTATTATATTATTATTATTATATTATTATTATTATTATTATTATTATTATTATTATTATTATTATTATTATTATTACTTGAGGGAGGCAGAGAAGGACAGTTCGAGGGAAGGAGAGACAACTAATAATTGATGAAGGAGGAATACAGGTAGGATGGAAGGATATAGAGGGAGTGGCAACAGGAGAAATTGGGGGAAGGAGGGAGGGAGGAACAGTGGGATGAAGGAAGGGAGGGAGGGAGAGGGAGGGATTGTTGGAGGGAGGGGGGTAGAAGAGGTAAGGTGCAGCAGGTGTGGTCAGTACCTGTGTGTCTCCTCTCAGGTTCAACACCACCACCACTACTCCCCCTCACCTGACTTACCTCCACCAGGTACGGTAGGTGATTCGGTAACAGGTAGGTGCCTCCAGGAATCAGATGACTATTGTAGAAAGGTGCATCCTGGGTTTTTAGGTGATTTCTTAGCAGGTAGGTGATCCAGGTGACTGCATACAGCAAGTAGATGAAGTGACTGAGGCTGATTTGTTCCTCCAGGATTTAGGTGACTATATCAATAAGGTGCCTCCAAGATTTAGGTGACTTTAGCAGACAGGTGACTGTAGGATCTGGGTGACTCATAGTTTGGTGGCCCAGGTGACAGCCTCACCTTCACTGATTTGTACTGTTTGTGTATAATATAGTTTTATTATTATTGTTATTAAAAAATTGGAATGCATCCTAGGTGGTCTTGGAGTGCTGTGATTGGTCGAGGAGAGTCATAATCTATCAAGGAACACTGTGATCTGTCTAGAAGTATTGTGATTGGTCTTGGAAAACTACGGGCAGCCAGAAAGTACCATCATAGGTCTAAAAGCCCGACAAACCGGTCTAGAAGCACTGTGATTGGACTCGCGGTGTCACAAACTGGTCTAGACTGTTGACTGTCAGGATGAGAGGGAAGACGCTGTTGCTGTTGTCTGTCTGTGCCTGTCTGTTTAGTCAGGTTAGTCAATGTGTTCCTGAAGCCTTTTGACTCTCTCTCTCTCTCTCTCTCTCTCTCTCTCTCTCTCTCAACACCAAGAGTCAAGACTCTCTCTTAGAACTAAATTATCATAGAAAATGGTTATGTTGACCCCAAAGTGTGTCACAAGTATAAGTGTAAATTGATATGTAAATGAGACGAGGAATATATAATTGTATATGCATTTTTCCTCTTAATTTTAGTAGTAAAATGAATGAAAATACAGTAAAATACCATTTAATATTGAATATTCTTGTATTTTGTTATATACATGTTGTGAAAAGTAATGTATTGTACTGTTTAACTAAGGTAAAATGTTAAATAATTAGTTTTAGTTTAATTTACTGTTGATTACAGGTTTTATAATTACTGTACATCTTATTACTTCAGCCATTACTGTATAGATGACCCAGGGTTTGGTAATTAATTTCTGTATATTTTATTTTATTTTTATGTAACATGGACATAAATACTCTATTTAATCTCCATGTTACAGAATTAATTATTGTTATCTTCATGTAATTGTTATTTTCATATAATGGTCATAATTATATAATTGTAGATATGTTTCAGAATTAATTGTATATCCCTGTATTATGTTTTAATTTGAGCTGTAGTTAAATTATATATGTATAAATCTTGTTAATGTAGATACTGTAGTACTGTGTACCTAATTCAAAGAGGAAACCTGTCAAATAGGTTCCAGTTCTAACAGACCCCTGTTCTAAAAGACCCTAGTTCTATTAGGCCCCAGGCTACTTTATCTCAACCATTAAGCATGGGGCTCTCTAGGTCGGGCCCTTTTAGACTGGGGCTCATTAGGACTGAAGCCCCACAATGTCCCTGACCCTCTTCAAATGCTCTACAAATGTCCCACAATGCCACTGCCCTCTAAATGTCCCACAAATGTCCCTGAATCTCTTTAAATGGCTCACACTGTCTCAAAAATACCCAAGACTCCCTTGATAAATATCCCATAATATCCTTGACCTTTTCTAAATGTCCCCCCAAAATGTCCCTGGCAGTCGGGGGGGATGCCGACGAAGGAAGACCTCTGTGGCCTGGTGGTGGATATGGTGGTGAAGGACGAGTGTCTTGACTGTTTCACCCAGGCTGGTAACATTACTGTGGTGAGTGTCTGTCTGTCTGTCTGTCTGTCCATCCACTCCCCCACATATTCACCCACTCATCCAATCATCCACCCTTCCATCCACCAAATCCCCCATACACCCACTCCCCCATCCACGAACTCCTCCATACACCCACTCCCCCACCCATCTACTCCCCCATCCATCCACTCACCAACTCTGAATTAACAAAAACAACCATTTCCACATTTACCTTAAGACAGGTAATTAAGAATAGGTGTACCATCTCTGCAGAACCCTGAAGGTGTAAGGTCCTGTGTCGCTACCTACCTGCCACCTACTGTAGCCAACTGTGCCGTGCCTCACCCTGAACAACGCCTACTGGGTGAGTCCTGACCCCTCATACTGTACTTAATGGTACCTAATACTTAACCTCATACTTCACCTCACAGTTACCGTTATATTTCCACCTGATATTTAACCTGATATTTACCCCTTGTACTTTCCTGATTAGTTTCACCTTCAGTTTCAGTCAATTTCAGCTTGTATGACCACTTTCAGTTAGTTTCAGCTTGTTTCCCCACCAACTTCAGCTTGTTTCAGTTTCAGTTAGTTTCAGCTTGTTTCATCTTCAGTTTCAGTTATGGAACGTATACAACAGAAGCCGCCGTCACAACACCACAACCACACTAACGCCAACCTCCTTCCCAACTGTCTTAACCGGAGGCTGAGAGACGTATCCCGCTACCTCAGGGTGAGAGATAGAGAGACAGAGAGAGAGAGAAAGAGAGAAAGAGAGAGAGTTTTGTTGAGTGAGGGCCAGTGATATTGCTAGAGAGAGAGAGAGAGAGAGAGAGAGAGAGAGAGAGAGAGAGAGAGAGTTATAACCTCAGTGTGAGTGAGTGGGAGAGAAAGGGAGAGAGGGAAAGAGAGAGAGAGTTTTGTTGAGTGATGGCCAGTGATATTGCTTGAGAGAGATGGAGAGATAGCAAAAAGAAAGATAAAGAGAGCAAAAAAGAGATAGAGAAAGAGAGAGAGAGAGGGGGGAGGGTCATGTTCCGTGATACTTAACCATATATCTGCTCAGGTGAGAGTAATTAATGCCACCTGTCCATTTACCTCCCCCAGGTGTGTCTATAAGAGTGTTACCCAGACCACCTAACTCAAGGTGTGTGTCGATAATGACTATGGAGCTGATTTATTTATTAGTATTCTCTCTCTCTCTCTCTCTCTCTCTCTCTCTCTCTCTCTCTCTCTCTCTCTCTCAATTGTCACCATAACTCACCAAGATTCACTGTAACTCACCAAAACTCGCCCTAACTCCCACTAACTGACTCACTCTTACTCACCATAACTCACCCTGACTCACCAAGACTCATCCTGACTCACCATAACTCACCTTGACTCACCACAGAAGGAGATGAGGTTCACAGAGCAGGCCGGCAAGATGGTGAAGAATGTGGTGATGGCTAATTTGATCCGAGATGGAGGTCCTGCTCTACTCAACCTCGAGGCCCAGGAGAGCATCCTGGAAATTCCGGAGGTCCAGGTGAGTGTTCTAGTAGGATCCTACCCTGACTTAACCTATCCTAACCTGACCTAATCCATCCCAGCCATTGGTGATGATGTCACAGCCATTGTTGATGATGTCACAGCTGTTGGTGATGTTGTCACAGCAGTTGGTGATGACATCACAGCAGTTGGTGATGGCGTTACATCAGTTTTTAATTGTTGTACTCCATAGCTGGGAAGAAATATGTTAGGTAGCTATCTTTCCGTCTGTCTATATATATATATCAACCTAACAACCTATCATCTCTCTGTCTATTTATCTCCAGAGGCTGGTCGAGACATATGCTGCTGGTTGTTTTGATAGAAGTAACTCACAGGTTCGAGCACTAAACTCTGAGGACGAGGAGGAGGAGGAGGAGGAGGATGCTGTCAAGGCCTTCATAAGACAGATGGAGTACAAGATGCTGGAGGATGACCTAAATGAGGAGGAGGAGGTGAGAGAGAGAGAGAGAGAGAGAGAGAGAGAGAGAGAGAGAGAGAGAGTATTTACTGAACCTCCAACAATATACAGTATTATTATTATCATTGTTGTTGTTCTCTCCATCAGCTGCGAGGGTTAAGAGCAAAATATGGTAATGACCTGCCGTTTGGGGGGACCAACTGCCTTGTTCACCGCATCTTAGTTGGCAGTTGTTTGATCGACTCCTTGGTAGGTGTGTGAGTGTAGGTGTGTGTGGGTGTGTATGGATGTGTGTGTGTGTATGTTAATATGTGTGACTGTGTAATGTAATGGGTGTGTGAGAGTGTAATGATAGTGAGGGCATATGAGGGTGCAGACTGTGGGTGTAGTTGGCGTGTGTGTGTGTGTGTGAGGGTATATTAGGGTGTTTGAGGGTGTAGTGGGTGTGTGTGTGTGTGTGAGAGAGAGGGTATATTAGGGTGTTTGAGGGTGTAGTGGGTGTGTGAGGGTGTAGCCAGTGAGTGTGGTGGTATATTTTTGGAATATATTTGGCCTTTTTTCGAATTTTAAGTTTATTTTTGATATATTTAGTATATTTTAAGCATGTGTGGTATACTCTTGGTCTAATGGGTTTGTTGCAGGTTAAGAATGGAGGCGCCATGGACTTGATCCGCATCTTGCAAAATGACGAGTTCTTCTATCCCATTCCTCAGTGGGTGAGTGTTTCTCTCTTTCTTTCTTTCTTTCTTTCTTTCTTTCTTTTTTTCTTTCTTTCTTTCTTTCTTTCTTTCTTTCTTTCTTTCTTTCTTTCTTTTTTCTCTTTCTTTTTATCTATTTTTTCTTTCTCCAAGTATTGATTACATAAGGCTTTTGAAAGATATTGCTCTCTCTATCTCTCCTGTCCCTCATTGGGTGAGTTGGTCTCTCTCTTTCTCTCTTTCTTTCTATCTTCCTGTCTTTCTCTTTTTCTTTCTTTTTTCTATCTTTATCTCTCTCATCTCCCATCTTTACTTACAGTGGATGAAGCCATTACTCACAGTGTACAAGTCAGAGATGAGTGTGTGGTACTAGTGTTGACCAGAGGGAGGAGGCGGGTGTGAGAGGTCCTTCCATCTGGCCCACGACGCCTTCAGGATGGTCACACAGAGGAAGGACAACACCTGAAGGATCCTTATGAGCGAGAGTTGTGGAGAGTTGAGAGTCCTAGATCTGGGAAGGAATAGTTGAGGAACAGTTGATGATCCTGTGAGAAAGAAGGAATAGAGAAGAAAGAATAAAAACCAGAATGAAGATAACAGCTATAGAGAATGGGTGAAAATCTAATAGGAAACAACAGAAGGTAAGATAATAATCAAACATAAGAATAAAAGAGACAAACAATATGAAAAAAACATGAATGAGAATATGGAAGGCAAAATATACATATAAATAAAGGATAAATAATAAAGAAAAGAAAACACAAGAAGGAATATAGAGAAAACAAAATAACCAAATGAGGAAAAGATGTCCAAAATGAATAATAATTGAGGAATGGAGAACAAATGAGACATAGAAGTTGCTGAAAATATTTAGATTCATAACGGCGAGGTAAAGGATAATTTTATAGCATTAAAATAGGGATGCTGTCTTTAAGGAATTTTTCTTAGTGGTTTTTATAGAAATGAATATTCTGTAGCTACTGTAGATGATAATAGTACCCTGTAATAGAAATAATAAAGGTAATATAGAATAATAATAGAGATAATACCTGTAGTGTTACTAATGATAATAGAAATACTACTACTAATAGTAATTCTCCATATAATGTTCCTATCAGTTCAGAAGAATGAAATAATTGCGTTTGTATTATAATTATATATTAATACTAACACCCAATTGATCCTGTAGTGTAAGACTGATCAATAAACAAAATAATCCTCGTAGAATTACCTGTATTTATTCTTGTCACCACCTGAGATTATATATATATATATATATATATATATATATATATATATATATATATATATATATATATATATATATATATATATATATATATATATATGTTTGGTGTTGCTGTTTTTTTTAATCATTATTCAAATACTTTACAGTTTCATTCAGTTAATCAGAAATAAAATAAATAAATTTATATTCTACTGTTGTATTTTAATGTAAATACGATTGTTATAGCCGGTTCCCTCCCCAGTCCTCAACTACTTCCCTATAAGTCTTTCCTTTCCCATCTCATTACCTCCTCCCGTGCCTCTCCCCGCCCCCCTCCCGTGCCTCTGGCCTCCTCCCGTGCCTCTCCCCGCCATCTCATCCCCTCCCTCCCCGTGCCTCTACCCGGCCTCCCTCCCGTGCCTCTCCCAGCCATCTCATCTCATCCCGGCCCTCCTCCCGTGCCTCTATGCCTCTCCCAGCCATCTCATCCGTGCCTCTCCCCCCTCCTCCCCGTGCCTCTCCCCCACGCATGCGCACCTCAGTGTTGATGTCTTGATGACGTCCACACGTAAACAAGTAGTGAGTGAGGTGGCAGCCAAGGGACTGACTTCCTGATTTTTCTATGAATTGTAAGTTTACTGAACACTTATACTACTCATACTTACAACACAACAGTAGAATAAAGTATAATTAACGAGAGAGGTGACATAGAAGGAGCAGAGAAGTGTCGTAATTCCCTATAATTCGTTTATCAATTATACACATCTGTTTACAAGGTGTTGGTCGAGCACAACTGACTCAAACATTATCTCGTACCTGGAGTAGTAATGAATGACTTAACCCATTACTTATCAAATATTACTATAAAATAATAATTTACATCAGCTGTCATGGAAGTAAAACACAGTTGATGCTATAAATGGGATACACTTATTAAATTAGGTTAGGTAAAATTACGAGCCTAAATGACTTAATCAAGAATCATGTGTTTGAACGGAAATAAATTTTACTAAGATTTCCCTCTCTGTATATATTATTAATTAATGTCACCCTTTACCTGGGAGATATGTTATCAGTAGACAGGTAGATAGATAGGGATAACAATGTCATGATTATCTTGATTCGTGTTAATTAGGTCAGACTGGGACGTGACAAGACAGGACTGCTAATTGATGTTAAAAGGTCAGTCTTTTTAACAACTAAGGTCTTTAAGTGTATATACTGTACCATTATGCAAATTAACACGCCAGATATCAGTATTAACAACTTGGAGGCATATATCTCTTTGGTTTGCATTTCAGGAATGACATGGAAAAATATATCTTGCCTTAAATATGGTTCAATATACAGTATATGTTTGCTCTAAAGGCAGATGTGTCATAACTGGGGCCGGTTATTGTTTCTAAAAGGTAGGTTAGGGTTGGTTAGGTCAGGTCTGGTTTCGGTTGGGTCTGGTTAAGTTAGGTCTGGTTAAGTTAGGTTAGGACAAGTTAGGTTAGGTCAGGTCTAGTTAGGTTAGGTTGAGTTAAGTTAGGTTAATTTAAGTTTGATCTAGTTAGGTTACGTTAGGTTTCTTTTGTTGGATAAGTGTTCGTACTTCTCTACTTTACCATCATTATCTCTGCCTCTTGTGGGAGAGAAAGGCTTGTGTGTGGATATATCACAGCAAGATTTCAAATGAGTTCAGTAATCAGTATTGTGTGTAATAATTTCCCAGAGTTATGGCCCTTCAGACTTTGTTATATTGGGTGGAGACTTGTCAACCTTGCATTACTGGTCCTTAGATACAGTTAATGTTTGATAATTATGTGTATATTTTTCTTTTTCAGTACTTGTGTGTAAGTCGAGTACAGACATGGCCAATCTGGAGTTGGATCCGTTGTTCCGTCGAGGTCTCCGTCTTCTTCATTCACGCAGCCGGGACTCTCTAGACCAGCTGAAGGCTATTGTTGACGATGCGGTCAGACAGCGGCAGGGGAAGACCATACCGCCCATGAACAAGGTGAAGGTCGTGATGAAATATTTTGTTATTATACTCTTGTTTTCTTGTATAAAATGAGAATTATTTAATTGTTAGTTTATATTTTGTGGGGATTATGTTATTACTTTACTTGAAATAAAGTGCTTGTATAGGCAGATACCCCAGCTATATTATGTAGGAGCTTGAATACCTCTTAATCCTTTAAATGCGGAGAGTAACTGGCAACTGCTGAGCCTTAGTTGTTGTTGTGATGCAAAAGGTGGTTGTAGTGACAAATGCTGTGGTTGTGATGGTGTATTGGCCAGTTTTTTGGTGCAAATTGGGTGGTGGTGAGCCAGGCTGTGGCATCATAGGTGTGGACCACTGAGGACAGGAGGAGGTGGAAGGAGGTTGATGAGGTGTAAATAATCTCAAATCATTTCAAGTTGATGATAGTAAATTGATCTGAGGCTCCACCAGCCTTGTGTCTCACTCTGGAGTGTCTTCCAATCATTGACTCTCCATTCTTAGTTTGATTTTTGGCACAACTTTAAATTCATGGTGCTAAATGCCAATTTCCTTAAGACAACTATGGTGGCTTTGTACTAAATTATTCAGAGATGAGATACCTGTCTACACAAGCTCTACCAACTTTTAAGCACATATTAAATTTTAACAGGATCCGTTCAGTCTTCGACGAGAATCTCCAATACCTCGATCAAAACCTGGCAGTCCCATACCTGTCTCGTTCTCCAAGAGAGAAGAAATCAAGAAGGATATGGAGCGAAAACTGAGTGTAAGTCACAGTTTGCCAGCAACAGTTACTAGTGTTACAGTACAGGGAGGTGTTGGGGTCCTTCCCACAGGGCTTTATGGAGTGTAAATAATGTAATAATTAAATTAATATAAAACTTGTTAAGGGCAGAAGTATCAGACACCTTTAATTGTTTTTACGGTTTCATGCAAATGGAAATATAAATAACTTAGGTGAAAAAGTCAATAACTGTACCTTTCATGGATATTCTTTTCACTTTACCTCAAATATATATACAGTACAGTATTATGAACAAGCAAGTACAGTGTATTACATGAGTACTGTAGTCTTAATTAACCCCTTGTGTATGGGCCCACCTCTGAATTGAATAAAATTGTCTGGTATTAGTAAAATAAAATATTAAACGTGGCATCCCCGTAGTGAAGGGGTTAAGTTCATAATGTATGTACTGTACCTCTTTTGTCATGACAGATGCGCGACGATGAGATGGTAATGCCCAAGAGGCCACGATTAGATTCACCGAGTGCGTTCAAGTCCCACACCCCCTCACCCACTCCCTCCGTTAAGTCTGAGAGTTCTTCACGGAGCCGGAAGTCCGACGAGAGTGACTCAGACACAGAGATGAACGACCTGGCCATGGAGATTATGGACGAGGTCAACTGTACAGTGTGCAAGTGAGTCAGCATTTTCTCTGTCAGTTAATGAGTTCTACTTCAGTTTATAAATAAAATTTTTATAAAGTTTATTATATTTTATTATTTGATTAAATAAAAGTACTTGATTATATGAAAGTTTATATTTTATTCTTAGATTTTCTTATTTTCTGTGATAATAAAGTGTTGGAGTTACATACTGTCGGTGAGATTGTAACCTAAGTTGTGTTATTGGATATGGTGTCATGGCATCTCCCGCTAGTGGAGTCATTATGGTAAGACTGTCGGAACAAGTTGATAAGTGTATTTTATATTTTATGCCTTTTGTAAATGTATTTGAATATTTTACACTTTTTTTGTAAATTTATTTGACTTTTAAATTTTTTGTTGTCATTCATTTACTCCCGCTGCTGCTGATCTATCTAAGAATCCTTCCCTATTTTGCAGGAGCTTTGAGGTGTCGCCACGTAATCGACTGGTGGAGTGCCAGGAATGCCACTCCCTGTATCATCAAGAGTGCCACAAGCCACCTGTCACCGACCAAGATGTTAATGACCCTCGTCTTGTGTGGTACTGTGCCAAGTGTACCAAGACGCTGAAGAAACTGGTAAGATACAGTTGTTAGTTAATAGAAACATTTTTATGATCATGTTTCTGAGTTGCTGTGCCCTTTGTCATCACTCATAATTGGGTTATATTAAACATAATGGGTTGTTTGTGAAGGTTATACTGTACTGTAGTATGTGTGAGTTATGTAAAGATGTTGACGCTGGTGAAGGTTGTGAGGTGGAGACTGAGTTGTCAAATGGTCCTAAGATGTAGAGGATCAGAGCAAGGCTGTAGTTTGTGTAAGTTAATGTTCATTTTTTCTTCAGGCTACTGTAATATAAAAATGAAATTATTTTCTTTAGTTATACAATCATTTGTTTGTCTGGCTTAACAGAGTGCTGTATTCCCTGCCATCATCAGAGGAGATATTGGAATGATAATTTTTTGTGCATATTTCTGGGAGTTGTGGACATGAGAACTTAACAGGTGTTGGTAGATTTTAATAAAACATGGCTGGCAGATATACCACAATGACAACACCATCTGTCATCAGTGTCCACACTTTTGACCCTTGGAGTGTGTTGTGGCATGACTGAGGATTTGTCCACCTGTATAAAAAATCTTTAATACAGCAGTGTAATATTAATGACCTAATTTGTGAAAACTTCCTTTGTACAGACCGCCATGATGAGCACATCTGGAGGTGGTAGCATAACTGGCACCCGAGGGGTCGGTGGTGGAGGAATGCCCAGCGTGTCAGGTGGAGGGAAGTCAGGAGGGTCACACACTCGACCCACGGCCTCGCCAACCAAGGGTCCGAGTCTCTCTCGTCCTTCGCCGTTCACTAACTTGTCATCTGCCTCAGGAAGGGGTTTAGGTAAAACAACAGGATAAGTAAAGTTCTTTTATTGTGGTGTGACTTCTCAGTTGGAGAAGTGATCTTTGTCGCACTCTACAGTAATTTGAGATAGAAGGTCAGCAGTGTGGACCAAATACAGATTATATGGCAGTGGTGGTGATTCATTTATTGCGGAGTGCACTGCTGTCAGTATTTTTCTAAATTGTCGTATTTTGTGCAATTACAAGTCTTTTTTTTATCTGACCTTCAGCACAGTTATCATTATTATATTTACAGTACCAACATCATCATCATCATCACTGGCTACTTCATGTATTTGTCATTATCAACATCATTAATCTTATTTATTATTTTTGTTAACGTTTGTTCAATAAATGTGTTTGGATTTTTTGAATCAGTAATGATGAAATAATGCTACTTATACAGTACATGTAAATAGTTTCTGACCTGGATTTTGGTAAACATGACTTGTTATTGTATTATCATTATCATCAAAGGTAAATTCAAAGTCAATATTTCTTCTTGATTTCTTGCTGAGTTATGGCCTTGTGGGAATGAGGGGGGGGGACTCTTAGACTATAATAATCTATTTATTGAAACATTGTCTACAGAAACAGATGGTAGACATGTAGTGAGTAATTGAGTTGTACTATGAGGGTCACCGTTACGATTGTGAATTTTGGGTGGATTGGATATTGTGTTCTGGGTTCAATTTCCGGCCCAGGTCACATGTGAGAAGGGTGTTATCTAGTGGGGCACTACTAAACATGGCAGGCTTTCTCTGGGTATTTTGGTTTCCTCCTGTACTAATACTGGACAATAAAGGTCAGAACAAAGTAAGAAAGAATGACCAACCATCTAAATGGCTGGTAAGCCGGTAACTAGTACAGTACTGATATTAATAATTAGAATTAAAAGGTAGATACCTGTATTGTCTAACACAGTCACCTTTCAGGCTCCAACAACAGTGGCGGCAACAGTAATGGAACCAGCAAGTCATCGTCTTCCTCATCAACGTCATCGTCATCAGGGAAGTCGTCTGCACCGTCTAACTCGATGATCTCGGCAGAGAGGAGGATGCACTTAATGAAGAAGAAAGCTGCAGCCAAGATGGCAGAGAAACGGAAACTGTAGATAGAGCACAATGTGACAAGGAATTCCATTAGAAATTAATATGTACATAGAACTTCATGTAAGCTTTAAGCCTCTTAATCTTATTATAGATTACATTTGTATATTATTATGATAATTTGAATGAAACTGACTAAATACGGAACTGAAGAGTAAATTTTTGATACAGTATTACAACTCCCAGTAAGGTCTTGGCCTCAGAAAACACTGCTTACCAAGGAAGGGCTTTGTTGTGGTTCAGCTTCCAAAGATAATTCCGTACAAGCTGGCCGTGATAATTATGTAATGTGCTGTACAGCCTTGAACTTCCATTTAAAAGCTAAGCCAAGTAACTCCTCTTTCATTAGGTATCCTATACTGACAAAGTTTTGAGGAAGTGAGTCTTGTGGTGTGTGTATTATTGTACACTCAGTTATGTGACCAGAGATTCATTTTGTTGCTTTTTCTCTTAGATTTGGTATCACCTGTACCCAAGAAGACAACTTCAGGAATATTTTGTTTAATTGTGTTTCTTTTAATCCCAGACACCAGGCTATGGTAGGCATACCCCCCTTATGAGGGTATACAGTATTTGGAAAAATTTAGTACAAACTGTTCATGCATGATATAAGCAGGAGATAGGAAGAGCCGAGAATGCACGTCAGGTAGTGTGTGTGTGACTCGAGGTGAGGTTGGCAGGACAAGGTAGACAATACTAATTTGTAGGCAGTATTTGGTACTGTACAGGTCACTTGTTTTATTGTAGTATTAGTATTTAGTAGCATTCTACACTATTTATAATTACTGTATTATTGTTGCCTCTGGTAATTGATCACAGATCTGTTGATGGGAGTCAGAAACACGTGACGAAGTGCATGAAGTCCAAGGGCGAGATCCTTGTATTACAACAACTGAGAAGGAAGATTGGGAGGCTGACATGTGTGAACAAATGAAAGATTAATGCTTACTTGGCAACATAATCTAGCCAGGCCTGTGTGGCAATTCAAACAGTACTGTACCGTGTAATTACAAAATGTCATACGACTTTAACCAAAGCCAAGGAGTTAATTCCCACTCATTGGCTAATAAGCAGTGTTTTGGGGTCAAGTTAGAAGTGGTTGAACTGACCAGTCAACTAAAAGTACGGACAATGGAGTAGTATGTCATACCACCAGGCTTAGAAATTCACTTGACTATTATGGCTTTTACTACAAGAGAATCGCCACCAGCACAGTGGTGATGAAGAAGGTGCTTACGTATATACTAAGGTTTTCACAGCCAGTCACCGGTCAGGGCCACTTAAATTCCATATCTGTGATGATCAGTAGATATTGTATACTTTTGTGTGAGAATGTGACTCGTCATCTACTGTATGTCGTGAATAATGTAATGAAAGTATTGTTTGTCTGGTACACTTATTATCCTCCACTGCCTCCAGTTTTAATGTTCGTGAATTATTATGTGTGTTTTGTTGAAAGTATTTTTTGTGTGTGTATCTTGTACAAGGAGAGAGATTGATACAAAACAAGAATGCAGCAAATAGTAACACACATCCAAAACAGGTACAATATACTGTACTGTAACTACCTCAGGAGAATTTAAAATATTACATTAATATCTCACACAGTATAAAAAAAAAATATTTAATCTGAATTACAAATATGAGCATTACTACATGATTACGGCAGCTTGATTATGTTTGTTCATTACCCACGGCTCCTGTTAAAAGATTTACACTATCAACAGTGTTGGATTGAGGGAAACAGTTGCAACACTTGAGATATTTTGAGAGTAGATATTTATTTATTTATTTGGTGAAATCATCATATAAGTTTACAATTGGTTTGGTATGTACAGGTATATAGACAATGCAGGTATTTATAGTACTGTAGTTCAACATGTAATCTGTATTGACAATGTAGGTATATAGTTCAACATGTTTGTAGACAATGTCGGTATACAATTCAGAATGTATATAGACACTAAGTATACAGTTCGACATGTATGTATATACTATACTGTATAGACAATACATGTTGAATTGTGTACCTACATTGTATATAAACATGCATAGTTTACATGCATACCTGTCCAGTTGTAAACCTGTATGACAAGTTTACACAGGACAATAAAGATGAAAATGAAGGAAAACAGTAAGTAACAATCCAACTACACGAATGTCTGGCTGGTAAACTGATAAATGGCAAAATTAGGTTGAAATAATGAAAAAAGAATCCCTTTATATTATCTAGTTACCAGCAACCATTACATTTGAGTTTGGTAAAAATATTGCGTGGGTGGAGATATAGATATATAATTAGTAAAATAACCATAAAATCTATTAATTGAATGCTTATAAACGTCAATAAAGCAGAAATATATTCATAATTGCATATGGGAAGATAGCATTGTACAGAGTCTCAATTGACTGACTTAGTTATCAATTTATAACCAATTAATTTATAGTTGCAATAATCAAATGTTCATTAATCTATAATAATCAAATGTTCATTAATCTATAATAACAAAAGAATTATAGATATATTTATTAACACCGCATAATTAAGACAAGTAATATAAGATCTCAGTTGACGGGTTGGCGGGAAGATTCACTCCATAGGCTGACGGTCACAATGATGACTTTCCCTTCTATTTTACGGGCGTTTTGGTGTGCTGCTGAGCTGTTAAGTGCGTCTAGATGTACGCTCACTTATAAATAACACTTAGAGAGCAGTTTGTAAGTAATATCTACCAGCTTTTTGTATTTTTAAGTGATTTAACTGGATAAATGAGTGAGTGACTTGACTAATGACTGGTCGAATTGATTGGCTGATATGACCGATTAATTACCTGACTGACTAATAACTATATTTGAATGACTAAATGACTGACTGGTTGATTAACTAAAATTGACTGACGAATTTTACTAAATAATTGATTGACTGACTGATTCAGAAAATAACGACTAGCTGACACTGATAGACTAACTAACAAATTGATAGAAAAAATAACTTGACTAACTAACCAACTGACAGAAAATAACTTAAAGCCCATCCACACGATCGATCAGTGCTCGGCGGACATTAGCAAGACTTCACCAATTACATGAGAATGGACCCCAACACCTTTTACAAACTTCTAGCGTAAGTGGAACCATATATAAAAAAAACAAACAAACAGGATACCAATATGAGGGAGAGTATATCTGCAGAGGCTCGCTCATATATCTTTCAACTGGGTGCACCTACAAAGTTTGTCTCGTATAATACCTGCAACTTGTCAAGCCATGTATGAAGTATTCAAGGAAGATTACCTGCAGGTGAGATTTTTAGTACATAAAAATTCATTGAATAATGTTAGAAATATGATATGCATAGAGAGGAAGCTATGGGACTAGAGTGAGGAGAGCGGCAGGAACGAAGAACCCACACGAATGTCCTCATTACATAAACAATCTCCCGTTTAGTGTCACGCCAATAATGTACATTACATAAGCGTATTTGGTTATACACTGGACATCTGGACCGAGCGGGGAACATATACGTAAATCAATTGCAGTACTTAACTCAGGTTTAACAAAATGCTAGCATACGTTCTGTTCATACCTCACCGACTTGAGGACCCCGAGGTCAGCGGTCAGCGGTGGTGTAGTGATCAGCTGTTTTTGAGTCACGTGAGGTTCCAATAATAACACGTGTCTTGTATTGCAGGCTTGTGTAATGTTGAATATTAGTGACAATATTATAGGAATGTCGGTTTTCCGGTTTTATCGTTTGTCTGGCAGAGTTGTTGCTCCACAGCAAACCACCAGGCAGGCGGACTGTAGGGTTATGAGATATTGGTTCACACTCAGGATGGGATGGAGAAAGGGAGCTCACAATGTGCTCACTGTATACATATTGTATTGGATGTACAATGTAGCTTGTTGCTGGGTAGGTAGCATGGTAATAAGCGTTGAGTAGAGAGAGCTGGGTGGTGAGGGTGCCCAGAGGAGGGACACACGGCTTGAGGGACGCCAAGGTCGCCGGCGGGAGCGGGAGCCGCCAGGCTGGCGCGGAGGAGGAGGTGTTACTTGCTGGTGGCACTGGGTAGAAAAGAGGGTGGTCACAGTGGTGTCAGGCCTTATAAGGCGGGGGTAGGCGTGGATAGATAGTTGACCCCCGCTCCGTGGGCGGTGCTGGAGGCGTAGGCTGGGGAATTCGAGAAGGTTCGCTCAACGACGGGCACGGGCAATCCGGTGGTTTGCCCACCAATTTTGCCCGATAACTGGTATTTAGTGCGTGCCCGGCGGGTACTGCTCGATCGTGTGGACGGGCCTTAACTAGCTGACTTACTGACTGACTAACTGACTGGCGGACTGACTCAGCTACCACCAACAAATTATCATAGAAAACGACACCTCACAAACTAGACCGAAATGTCAGACGTTGGTTTATTTTTTCCCCTTTGTGTTTTGCTACATCAATATTCAACTGTTTTACCAACGTTTGAATTTTTGTACATTCAGAGTTTTTATTATATATTTTCAAAGTTTTATTGTACAGTATATTAAATAGAGATTAAATATGTATATGTGTTTGTTGTGGTGCTTCTCTGCTACAAAAAGGTGTCAGATATAAGGTTTGTATTTGACCTGTCTGTATGGCTATTTTACGCTAGTGGCCATCTTACGCCAGTAGTGGCCATCTTGCGCTAGTGGCCACCATACGCCAGTGGCCACCACACGCTAGTGGTCACCTTACGCTAGTGGCCATCTTAAGCTAGTGGCCACCCTATACAGTGACCACCTTACTAAGTATTATATCTCCATGTTCCAAGCCAAAACATCCCCCCCCCTCACGTGCAAAACAACTCCATCAGCCATGTCAGGAGGGGCAGTCAATGAAGTGACCTAACGCAACACCCACTACCTGTCTCCCTCATTAAAAACAAAAATAAGACGTACTAAACTTGTGGTTGGAGTATCAATTCATCTGGTGTGTGTAGTGGTGTCGAGTCCTCATTATTTTCCACTCACAATAACTTAGGATTCCCCGCGTGTCAAACTCCACCTCTGTGGGGAAAATTGAATCCATGAGCTGGTTGATAGAAGATGAACTGATTTTTTTTCGGTGGTGGTGGTGGTGGTTGTGGTGCGTTTTGGTTGTGGTTGTGGTGAGTTTTTGGTTGTGGTTGTGAGTTTTGGTTGTGGTTGTGGTGAGTTTTGGTTGTTGTTTTATAGTTATGGGTATTAGTGCATTAATTTACTGTTTTTCTAAGACGTTATTGACTATCTGAAAACCTCGAAACTTTATTAAAATTATGTTAGGTTAGATCAATGTAGGTTGGGTTAGGTTGATTTGGATAGGTTGGGCTAGGTTAGATTAATGTAGGTTATGTCGGGTTAGGTTAGATTAATTGGGTTCGTGATAATGCTGTTCCTTATTAATTTGTATAATGTAAATTGTATATGTACTAGATCGTCCCCAAATTCAAACAAGTTCAGAATGTTGAAAAACAATGAATATATTGTAATTAGATTTGTTTTGCGATCATGGTGGGGGTGTAAGGGTGTAAGTGACGGGTGATTTGGTGTGTGAGTGAGGCAGTGTTATTAAGTGTGTGTGTGTGTGTGTGTGTGTGTGTGTGTGTGTGTGTGTGTGTAAGACGCTGGTGGTAGTGGTGAGTGGGCACGTCTCGGCGGGGCAGGCAGGCGGGCTGGCGGACGAGAGAGAGAGAGAGGGAGAGGGCCTGGCTGGTTGGCTGTGGTTCAGTGTGTGTGTGAACGGTTCTGGGTACGGGCAGGCTGGCATACAGGGCTGGCTCATCTCCCCCATGGTGCCAGCGGTGGTGAACGGGGCAGGCTAGACTATACCGAGCTGCTGCTGCCCACCTCCCTCCATCCTAAACTTTGGGTATATATCAACCCCCCACACCCCCCATTGTCTATTAAACCTCCCGGTGAGTGTGCACGGTGGTTGTACTCCCTTGAGAACTTTTATCATCTCAGGTGATGGTGAACACACACACGGGTGGCCAGGCAAGGTATTTCCCGCCACAGTCATGATAATGTATTGTTAGAGAAAATAAATCCTCGTTACAATTGATACTAAGAATACGACGCTCTTGATAATACAAATACGAGAAAACGTTGAAAATCATAAGAAAAAATACCTTGAAATGAGCCATCTTAGTTGGACAATAATGCAGAAAACTCTTAACGTTGTCAGAAAGCTTTAAAAAGAAAAGAAAAGAAAAAGATGCATGCTGAGTGTTTGCCAAAGGTAGTGGAGGAGCGAGGTAGGTCGGTGGTGGTGGTAGCGACGGTGGTGTAGTAGTGGTGGAGGTAATAGTGACAACGGCAGTAGTAGTAGTGATAGTGGTGGTGGTGACGGGTGTAGTGCAATGGTGTTGGCGATAAAGTGCTTTACAGTCATACAACTAGACTTCTCCCTCTACCCACCCACCCACCCATCCACCCATCCACAATGACGTAAACTCCTGTTTATGGTAAATTAAACCTGAATGTTATTTATCAGTGTAGCCAGACAGAGGGACTAAAAAGAATACCCCCATATCGAACTGTTGTCTTTCATGCTTAAAATAAACGTTGTGTCAGGGCATCACATTCTGCTGGTGAGAAGCGCCAAGTAGCGTGTAAGAATGTCTCACTTGGGTTATAATACAATGTTGAGATGGGAGGGAATGTTTGGTGGGGGCAGGTGATGGTAATGTTGGGAATTGGCCGGTGGCATTATTATTATTATTATTATTATTATTATTATTATTATTATTATTATTATTATTATTATTATTATTATTATTATTATTGTAGCCTTTATTTAACACGTAACATTATTGTTTGTGACGTTTATTTGAGCTATTCCTGGTGTCTTAGATAAGAACGTTGAATTGTTTTCTTTAATAACTCTCGTTCCATTTTTTTTGTTGCTGTTACATAATGTCAGTCTTTATTTAATCATTAATGTTCGTAGTTACTGATGTTTGGGTGCTAATAATAGTGTCTAAGTTCACTTAACAGTGTATTCATTATCTTGCCTCATTACCTGCAGTTTAGTTGAATGAGATATATAGATAGCAAGATAGATAGATAGTTTTTTATTCAGTACAGTCATCATTCAAGTTTACTATGATCCAGCATGCATATAGACAGTGCAAGTATATAACATGTATACTGTATACTGTAGACTATACACTGCAAATTAAGGTCGTATTTATGTTGGGGGGAGGGGGATTATGGGGGATGAACCCGCTCCCATAATTCCACAATATTTCTACTCAGTCACGAATTCATAATTGCGTTGTGAATTTACATAAGTCGGGATATTTGGTTAAATGTACAAATATATTAACCATAATGTTTTAATGATGAACGTTTAGGAAAACTCATCAAACGCTCTTAAATTATTATCTAACTATAATGTACAAATGTAGTAAATAGTTTTTCTTAAATAGAATGGAAATAAACGTAGAGCTGGTGAAGGCCTGTGATTGGTTGGTAGATAGATGAGGGGAGGAACAAGTTATGGATGGAGCTTGGGATGTGACTCACTCATCTTGTGATCATCTCCAGTAGTGAACAACTGTCTAAAACCAGGTGGGTGATGTGGTTCATAGCTCATGTTACGAGGGTACTGCCCAGTGTTAACTTGCTTGGGATAATAAACTTAGTGAAACATGTAGCGTCAAAACACCCTGAAATCGGTCAAACTTTTCAAAATGTTCTCAGGAGGGGGATACTTCAACGCCCTTCTCCCCTCATCCCCCTACACAACTGTAACTCGCCCTCTTACTCCCTTTAAACCCCACCAAACATAATTCCTGGATACGCCCTTCATGCAGATACATAATACATTTAAACAATACAGTTATAGGAAGCCAATAATTTTTAGGGAAAGATTATCAGCATTAGATTTGTTGAATGACTAATGTTAAGTGAAAATATCAATAGTGAAACCTCCATTTAACGGACTATATGGAGAGGAAAATCCGTTATATTGAGGGTATATTAGATATGAAACATCCATCAAGTATATAGAGTTGAAAGTCCGTTATATGAGGGTCCGTTAGATATGAAATCCCCATCTTACTGATTATATGGAGAGTTAAGTCCGTTATATGGAGGTTTCACTGTAATTTTAAAACCGTCTTGGGGAATTAGTTCTATATTTTGGCTAAAGTTTACCAATTATATTCGTTTTTACATTTTTAATTACGAGAAAGGATTTTAATAAGGTCGTTTAAGAATATAGCTGGAGAGAATCATCCGGACCTCTGTATGTGACCAGGTAATTCCAGGTAATTTGCCAATATAATTAGTTCTGTCGTATTCAAGATGGTATGACGTCACGCATAAACAACTCGGATCTGATAACTTCCATGCATATTTGGGATCACCTGAAGATTAGCCCCCCTTCAGCTTGTTTCACCCGATCATTAAACACCAGAACGCTACCTAGGGGGTTAGGTTAAGTTAGTTTAGGTTAGGTTAGTTCACGTTAGGTTAGGTTACGTTGGGTTAGGTTACGTTAGGTTAGGTTACGTTGGGTTAGGTTACGTTGGGTTAGGTTACGTTGGGTTCGGTTACGTTGGGTTAGGTTACTTTGGGTTAGGTTACGTTGGGTTAGGTTAGGTTAGGTTAGGTTACGTTGGATTAGGTTACGTTGGATTAGGTTACGTTATGTTTACTGTGGGTGCAGATACACAATAATTTTTTATTATTTTTAACTCAAGTTGGTCCGTAAGATACGTTCAAAAATGTCTTCAATTACGAGGAAAATCCACCAAGTGATTGTGGGTCCTGGTAGTGTTGTTGGTGGTGGTAATGGTGGTGGTGGTGGTGGTTGTGGGTGAGGTACTAGGTGGTGGTGGTGGTGGTTGTGGGTGAGGTACTAGGTGGTGGGTGAGGTACTACGTGGTGGTAGTGGTGGTGGAGGTGGGTGAACTAGGTGGTGGTGGTGGTGGGTGAGGTACTACGTTGTGGTGGTGGTGGTGGGTGAGGTACTACGTGGTGGGTGAGGTACTACGTGGTGGTAGTGGTGGTGGAGGTGGGTGAGGTACTAAGTGGTGGTGGTGGTGGGTGAGGTACTGGTACTGTACTATAGCTGGGATGTTCCTCCCTAAAAATATACTCCCAGCAGTTGTAAACGACCTTGATGCCCCGCCACTCTCTAGCTCAGAGTTTCATTCCCTGAGAGTGACCGAGTGACCATCTGACTTGCCTCTGTTACTCTACCATCAGTGTGTGAGTTCCCTCCTTCCCCTCCCCTCCCTCTCTCCCTCCCCCTCCCTCCTGCAGGCGTAAAAATACAAGAGAGAGAGAGAGAGAGAGAGAGAGAAAGAGAGAGAGAGAGAGAGAGAGAGAGAGAGAGAGAGAGAATTTGTCGAGCGTTGGAATATTTTGAGCAGCTGGGAGCTTCTGTCTTCCCGCCAACTCGCCAGGTAGGTTCGCATTCTGTTTGGTTCTTGACTACTTTCTCCGTTGCATGTTGTCTTATAATTCCTCCTTTATCATTAGATTGCCTTTTATTTTGTGTATTAATTATATGTACACCCCCCAAAAAATTATTTATACAAATTGTGTTGAGAAAATATAACACAACGGCCGAAGGATTTTGACAACCCTACCGAGACAATGGGAATCGCAGTGTTCATTCTGAAATTCATCAGTCACCCCAAGTACTGATAATTTTATGAGTGACTGTATAACGAAATTTATGTATAATGACTCCCCACAGTCTTTATTAAATGGATAATTATTGCTCATTGTTCATTTGTTTTTGTTTTAGTTATCCATTGCATTTCTCTCATATTTCCCATTTATTGGTATTTTTAGCTCTTACAATGTGTACTTCTTATATTTGCGACGAAATTTGTAAATAAAGAAACCCAGATCAGCTGTAGATTCACACCCCCCTCCCCCCTTGTTTATTCTACTTGAAGTGTGTGGGGAATATACTTACCACTAAGTTTATCTATAAGTAATACCAAAATGCTTACTGAATTTATTGTGTGTGTTGTTTGAGTGTGTGGTTCTGTGTTTGAGTGTGTTATACAGTGTTTGGGTGTGTTATACAGTGTTTGGGTGTGTTATTATACATTGTTTGATTATGTTATTCAGTATTTGAGTGTGTGGTTTATTGTTTCGAGTGTGTGGGTTGAGTGTCTGAGTGTGTGTACGAGTATGTGGTTCAGTGTTTACCCCCATTTTCTTTCATGTCGTAAGGTACACTAGAGTACACTGGACACATGTAAAGACAACCAGGGTACACACACACACACACACACACACGTACAAGACTAATCCAGGGTACACACACACACACAACACACGTACAAGACTAATCCAGGATACACACACACACACACGTACAAGACTAACGGACAACACACACACGTAAGATTGGGGTGTGAACTAACCTGGGTACACACACACACACACGCACACGTACAAGATAACCCTGGGTACACACACACACACACACACAACTGGGGTGGGTGACACACACACACGTAAAGATAACTGGCACACACACACACACACAGCTACCTGGCACACAACAACACACACAACACGTAATAACCTGGGTCACACACACACCACAGACACACACACACACGTAAAGACACTGGGCACACACACACAACACGTACAAGACAACCCTGGGCACACACACACACACACACACGTACAAGATACTGGGTACACACACACACACACACACACACACAGACACAGAGTCTTGTGTATTTTTTATTCTAGCCAAAAAAATGTTTCTGCAGCTCACTAAACCAATGTTGATATGGAGGGTGAAACTGTATACGCTAGTGAATCTTTTGTTTTTTATATTTATTATTTGTTTATTTAAAGTCTGTAACCTTGGTTCTACTGCCACACTGTTTACTATTGTTTGTATACCTGCATTGCCTTGGTATGTTATTTGTATACCTGCAGTCTTTGTATGTTGTTTACCTGGATTGTTTACAAGGTGAATCAATTGTATACTTGTATGACGATATTATAAAATTTTATTTCTGTCTATCTATCTATCTATCTATCTATCTATCTGTCTATCTATCTATCTATCTATCTATCTATCTATCTTTCTATCTCATTTATCTATCTATCTATTTTGTCTATCTATCTATATATCTATCTGTTATCTGTCTGTCTGTCTGTCTGTCTGTCTGTCTGTCGGTGTGTATCACATGAGTTAGCTCATCACTGAATATATCTAATAACTATACCCATCTAATTTCTCCTGAGGTTTCACTGTGTTGAGAAATATAGAATTAAATAGACATACTTAAGATTTGACCAATAGGAGATCATTCTGTTTAGACATACTTAAGATTTGACCAATAGGAGATCATTCTGTTTAGACATACTTAAGATTTGACCAATAGGAGATCATTCTGTTTAGACATACTTAAGATTTGACCAATAGGAGATCATTCTGTTTAGACATACTTAAGATTTGACCAATAGG